AAGTGAAGAAACATATAGGGAATGTTATTGAGACGACATTGACGGAGACAATCACAATAAATTCGTTAAGAAAACGATGAATGTCCATCCGTAAAAGGTCCATGGTGTAAGGGAGGAGGACATAGATGATTGAAAAATACAAAACGTATCAAAACGGACGGAATCTGAACTACTTCTACTACTACTACTTTTTAAATCTTTATGCCCAAAAGGTTTTGATTAATGTAGGTGATCGTTCACCACCTGACAAAATAATAATGATAAGAAAACCTTATAATTACAAGAAATTAACTTTCCGTGGTGTTTGCTCCTTGAAACTGGGACCGATAATGTGTGCGCACATAATAAGCATATTAAATGAATATACAGGTATATATATATATCTACAAATTATTTCGAGCTTTCAGTGAAACAGGGTTTATGTGATTATTTTTTGTTGCTCTCTACTTAGGATCGTATGTGGCGTAAGACCCGCAGCCCGAATTCAGCTTCCACTTGCGTCGGAACTGACCCTAACCGAAACTGGGACTACGAATGGGGTAAATATAAAGTGTTTCTTATATTTAAAAAAGCATAACGCACAAAAAACCCAAATTAGGATCGGTTCTAGAATAATAATCAATGGGGAGCACTTTATGTGCGTGTGTGTGTGTGAGAGAGGCAGGCGCGTACGCAGGGGGTGGGGGTGGGGGTTGAACCCCCCTTAAATTTGTTTATGTGTTTGTTTTAGACGAAACCCCCCCCCTTTTGTTTTTTTTTGTTTTTAATAATAATTTTAAAAAATGGGTAACCCCAAAAACTGACCTTACCCCCCCCCCCCCCAAAAAAAAAAAAAAAAAAAAAAAAAAAAAAAAACGATACGAAATATCGATCGGCTTTATATAGCGCATTTCCAGATGATACAAGATATCGCCATCAGTAGAACTGGATATGCAGGTGAAATAAACGAATGAATAAGTGAATGAATATCTATATAAATGAATAAATTAATTGATTAATTAGACAAATCAATAAATCAATTAATTGATAAGTTTAATCAATTCAATCAATCAATTAATTGATAAATTGAATAAAATAAATAAATAGATATATAAAAGAATAATGAATAATGAATAAAAACAGTTTAAATTGAAAACGGTATAAGTTATTATCATCTACTTTTCCTCAGTCGCAAAAGTTTCGAAGTGTTCTGAGTCCTACCCTGGAACCCATCCCTGGTCCGAGATCGAAGTCGAGTCTGTGACGGATTACATCACTAATCTCAACAGCGTCGAGGCCTTCATTGACTTCCACGCCTACGGGGAGATGTGGATGACTCCTTGGGGTTATACCGAATCTTTACCAACAGACTATACCGTCCAGGTACTCCTTATTATTTTGTATTTGTATTTATTAACATTTATTTCCTTCTCAACGGTACAATATGTAACACAATGTATTTATAAATATGTAACAATGATTTTAACCTAGAGCATACAGTAAATAAATCAGATAACAGAAGGGGGCGAAAGTCCAAAAAGCATAGCTTGAGTTGGGAACGAAAGTAATAAGTTAACACAGTTACTGAGAGAACATTATAAATGTTATTATGAAAATCACATAATGTATAACAGAACGCTGATAGGAAAGAAAATATAGTAAATGGAAGAAAAACTGAGAAGAGAATTAAGGTATAGGAAGGCATGTTCACTTATAAAGAGAAAGTTAACTCAATTGTGTATTCCGAGCCCTCCTTGGCTTTCTTGAATACTAATTGAATTATGAATAAAGATATACATTAATAAAGCGCAGACATACTCTGCAAATATATTCTACTGCGTTGCGAGAGCTCCCTAAGTGCTTAAATCTATAACATAAAGTTAAATGAAAAGATGTGCTTTTAGTTTTTATATACACGATTGTGATTTCCTAATATATAATAGTAAGTTATTTCACCATTTGGGACATGAGCATGCAAATGCTCGATGTCCGAATGTTATTTTTTTTTTATGTGACGAGGATTGCCATATTAATAGAGTATCTTGGGAGCTGCGCATGTTGTGAGACTGGAGTTTTAAAAGTGCTACAATAGGGCTTGACCGATTAGCGCTTAATAGACGATTAACATAATCTTTTATAAGATGATGAAGCGGATCCTAATCTAATGATTTGTTGAGAGCTTACATGTGACCAGGCATTTATCTTTCCTAACACGTAATTTTACTAATGACGGATCATTAGCAATGCTAATGCTAATGACCGGTCATTAGTAAAATCATATTAAGAAACATCATTTTATAAAACATTTTATAAAAATAAAGCCAATCCGAAGCAAAGATTTTTCTAGCTTATAATAGAAATTGTCATTTGTCACTGATGACAAGTTTGGTGACATGGGGCCCAGATCTCCCCCCCCCCCAAAAAAAAGAGGTGATCCATGAGAATTTAGAATAACCTTCAGTATAGAGGTGTCGTGGTCTAGTAGATACGTCACCGGGATGTGGATCACATGGTCCGCGGTTCGAGTCCCACTGCGGCACTAATGTCCTTTTGCAAGACATTTATCTACATCCGTCACATTCGACCCATGTAAGGTACATGGTTCCTCGGTATACAGATTAGGGTGTCATGGTGTTATATAAGTTTAGATTTACATAATGACAATTGAAATCGACATCGTCATTGGGCGTATATTCATAGCTTGATGCTAGGGCTAGACGAATATTGATAAAGTATCTGTTAGTATCATCCTTGCGAAAACCCGGATTTTTTAATTCATGTATGGACGTCGTATCTCGTGTTTATTTTCAGAAATCTGTATCAGACAGTGCCGTATCCGCCATGGGTAATAGATCGTACAAGACTGGCTCTATCGCCAACGTTATCTGTGAGTAAATTATTTTGTTACTGCTCCTACTACAGATACTACTGCTACTTCTACTCTACTACTAATACTACAACTAATAATAATACTAATACTAGTACTACTAATGATAATAATACTACTAATAATAATAATAAAAAGATGAAGAAGAAGAAGAAGAAACAGAAGAAGAAGAAGAAGAAGAAGACAAAGAAGACAATGAAGACGAAGAAGACGAAGAAGAAGAAGAAGAAGAAGAAGGAGAAGGAGAAGAAGAAGAAGAAGAAGAAGAAGAAGAAGAAGAAGAAGAAGAAGAAGAAGCAAAATAATAATGATTATAATTTAGGTAATAATAATTTAGGTAATAATACTAATAATAATAATGATAAGATAATGAAAATGATGATGACAATAAAAAAAAAATAACTAAGAAATGATGATCATCATAACAATAGTAAAAAAATAATTCAAAACAATTCTTTCTCTGTCTTTGATTACATAGACCAAGCATACGGCTCGAGTGTCGATTGGACGTATGGTGCGTTAGGTATCGTCCACTCCTACGCCGTGGAGCTCCGTGGAACCTCCTTCGTTATCAGCCCAACCCAAATCGATGACTCGGGTATAGAGACGTACGAAGCTCTGAAATACGTCTCACTATACGCCATCCAAAATCCATCTAGAAAATAGTTCTAGCTCGGATTTCGTCAGCCTAGTGAAATTATTGTTGCCTGGGTCATTTTTTGAGACCAAATTGATATTTTCCCGCCTATGTTAGGTCTTTTTTTAATCATACCTTATTATCTTCATTTCATGATTTCTTTTGTCTGAAACGTAGAACAAAAGTGAAAAGGGGAGATTTTTATGACGTCCATCTCTCATTTCTCTCCTATTATCGCCGACTCTCATTCTATCTTTACAAATTTTCTCTTTTAGAGATCACTAAATATCTTGTCTCTCACATTGTCACTAGGTAGTAATTATATCAGATTATGTTTAAAATGCCGACCCCTGAACTGTTAGGTAAGCATTGGTGGTAACTGTACAAGACTTGAATTGATTCTTGCAAGAGAAAATGGATTTTGAATTTCAATAAAATCAAATTATAGGCAACATAGAAAGTCTTTTGGGTTGTGTTATTTTTCATTATTTATTTGTATTTTTTTCCTTAAAATTATTAGTATTATCATGATATATATATATATATATATATATATATATATATATATATATATATACATAAGTACAGCTACGTCTCACGTTCCTAAACCATTTTCTTCACGCCTATATAATTATTATGTTTACATCGGTTGCATTTAATGGGGTCTCTCTGTCTACTTGTTGTTTGCATTTTGTGTAAAAGTGCTTTTTGATGCTTGTTTGGTTATTATCCTGATGTCACAAATCCTCTGGATGGATTTCTTTTAATTTGTTTGTTTTTTGTTTTTTGAGGGATCATAGCCCCCTGTGAAATAAAGTACCTTCAATGATTAATTGTAGTAATCTTACACACGTGATTCATTTTCTCTCCCGTTCCCCCCCCCCCCCCCCCCCTCTCTCTCTCTCTCTCTCCCTCTAGTAACTCCGCTCTCTCTAGTCACTCCACACTCTGTCTTCTGTGTTTCTCTGTCTCTTCCATAATTTACTTTTTTTTAATTAAGTGCCCGATAAATATTTAAACAACTATACCTGATTTATTGACGGCTGAAGTTATACGAGATGGTTTTGATCACGGAGCTACTTAAGTAATGAAACAATAGCGTCATTTGCAATATTTCAATGACAGTCCAAAATACATCATATTTTTAAATCTGAAAATTCTTTCCAAATACGATATCAATACAAAATGAAAGAAAATGAAAGAATTGAAAGTAAGTTTAGGTGGCGTATCCGGTGTCTTCGACGAGGTTGGTTTTCGCCACCCCCCCCCCCCTAAAAAAATAAAAACAAAAACACCAACAACAACAACACAAGTTACACAACAACAACACACAACCGATCCCTGCAGTGAGTCTGCAGGGATTAGAGAAATGTACTCAAAAGAGTGAGGTCTATACAGTAATATGGCCCATAAAATGCTTCAGATTGCAGGACATTGTTCTAGAGGAACGTGCCCCTCAATTTTTTAACAAAAAATTGTTGGAATTCAGTTACTTACTAAATCGAATCCATCAAAGTTTGCCCCGAGTCTGATGAGTCTTTTGATTTGATGAGCGTTGGACGGCACCACGCGCCAAACTTGATATCTGGAATGAAAGAACGAAAGAATGAGAAAGAGAGAGTGGAGAGGGAGAGATAGATAGATAGAGAAAGAGAGAGACAGAGAGGGGGAGAGGGAGAGAGAGAGAGTGCGAAAGAGAGAGAGAGAGAGAGAGAGAGAGAGAGAGAGGAGGGTGTATTTTATATGAATACAACTACATTGTAGCTTACCCATGCACACTTTTGATACTGTACCGACTATACTGAACACGCTCATCAAGACTTTGAAAAAATCTAACATAAGGCAATTTCAGTATACCTCCTCCATCACATATTGACATGACTTGTACAGACGTTACATTATAATTACTACATAAGGCGACATTATTTCTATGAGAAATGCAATAGGGTATTGAAATATCCATTACCTCACGGGTACAATTTCGCAAGAGATTGACGTTGCTGGACCGAGTATCAACTGAATTTTAGGAGCTGGCGAGGCGGTTGAGAACATTATTATATACTTTATTAGGTAGTGAAATGTATAGATTTTTTACCGTAATATATCAGATAAGATACAGAAACTACTAACAGGCCACCCCACTGCCTGAATATTAGGTGGGGTGCCCGAATATGAGACGACATTTGCTTTAATAAAGAGGCGCGATAGCTCAGTTGGTAGAGCAGTGGTCTCGTAATCCGGCGACCCGGGTTCGAAACCAAGCTTGGTAAGGCATTGATCCTCTTTACCCGGTCCCTCGGAGAGGACCTAAAGCTGTCAGTCCTCTGGTTGCTTACTAACAAGCATTTATGGGTTTTTTTAGCAGTCGGGTAAAAATAACCACCACTACTACTATACTGGTAATTTCAAAATTCTCTGGGATGGCCTCCCCCTCCCGCCCCCTTCCCCACGCATCGTACGCCTATGTATGTATTCAACGATTCTTTAAGGAAACTGAAGTCTGGAAAGTGTTAATCTTAATTTAGTTGACAACTTACCCATCATATTTCCGTCCCGGACCGAGAACGGCATGTATGGATCCAGAAAATACCGACAAAATCCCAAACATAAGCGTAATTCCTTTCAGCCAAGTCATCGTGCAATATTTCTGGCGATTTTGCAAACCAAAAATATTACTTGATTCTTCTAGATATCAGAATCCCCCAGGATGTAGTTCTGAATGTTATCACAGTAGTCTGCAACGTGGATGTGGTATTTTGTAAAGGGGCTACTTAGGGATGCCAGGGAAATGCCTGTAATGCGCTGAATAATTATACTCAGCCAATTAATCATAATAATCTGGTAAAGGAACCAATGGCCATCAATTAGATATTTGGATTATATCGTGTGGGAATAGTAACATTCGGTCAAAGCGCTTACTTAAAGGGTTTAAGATGATAAAGCATCGGTCTGTTTACAGAATATATTACTGATTATAATTCAAAACTCAGATACTTGTACTCATGAGTGGGAAATAGACCGGCTGTATTCGAGTACTTGAAGTATTTTTATGACAGAAGTTCATCAAAGAGCATTGTACACGTAAAATTACGATAAGCCTGGTACTCAACGGGTGCCATTAGTAAATGATTATTTTGTAATTAGTTCCATGTCGTGTGAACCAATAGTTGTATAGCTAATTTGGTTTCACCTTATCGCTGTATACTGTTATTATGAAACATAATTGTTATTCCGTAGGAATAGATCAAGACTAGTATATAATTATGAATGTAGATGCGATTTGAATCTTTTAAAACCCATCGGAACAGACGATTCAAGAACCATTAATATTGAAGGGGGAGGGGTTCCTATGATCAGGAAAGTTATGCATTGAGCTTTTCGTTTAAAATTGTAAAAGACAAAAAGGGGAATTATTCGGTCAAAAATATTGATAATTGAATTTTCAGACAAGGGGGGGGGGGGTCGAATATTTTCAGACCCCAATTGGTTATAATTATACAGACTTCCAAAAATTCCATCAGCTCTGTTAGAGATTTTAGAACCCAGGCGCAAGAAGTACCCTTCTCAAAGCAAGTATGATTTCTTACAGAGTAAGAGGAAATTGATGTAAAGGAAGTAATAGAGATTTGTATGTTCTGACTTTTGTTCGATTTTGGGGCACTCGCGTCCGACTTCGGATGCGAGGCCCTGCTAGAGAAACTTGAAAGATAACTACGTGAAGTTCATCCCCGTTTCTTCAACAAATCTATCATACATCTCATAACAGTTAGAGATATCATCAAAATGCATATTGGCAAAAATGTTGCAGCCTAGCCTGTTGGGATTTTCCGATCTTTTGTTTCAATTTCACTGGATATATTGTAAGAAGGAAATAATCAGCAGAAAGGAAGAATAATTATATCAGGGATTAAACATTTCAAAGAGAAACGGTATTGAAATATGTAAAGTCGTAAAATCTACTTTGAACATGAGGAAGTTTGCATGACATCATTTCAGTCTTTGTTATGCAAATAGTTCTCTTTAAACGTGAGACATTTCAATCACAATGTGTCAGCCTATGTTATGCAAACATTTGTCTTTGAATGACTTGCACGACTTGCAAACGATGGAAATAATCAGAAATAATCTTTTCAGATTGGACAGCCTTAAAACCCGACAACAACAATTACTACTACAAGACCCCCCCCCCCTCTCTCTCTCTCTCTCTCTCTCTCTCTCTCTCTGTGTGTCTCTTTCTATCTCTCTATCTCTCTCTCTTCCTCCGTCTCTTTCCTTCTCTCTCTCTTTCTATATCTTTCTCCTTAGCTCTATGTATTTTTATCTTCCTCTCTATCTCCCTACCCCTCTCTCCCCTATCCTCTTTTCTTTTCCCCTTATCTTCCTCTTTTTCTTGGTCGTCTTTTTTTTCCTCCCTTCTCTCTCTCTCTCTATTTCTTTCTAATTCTCTACATCTCACTTAACCTGCTCTTTTTGACCATTTCCCCCATCTCTCTTCCCCCAACCCTCTCTCCCCCTTTTCTTTCCCTTCTCACTCTCCCATCCCTATTCCCCTCTCTCTTCAACCCATCTTTTTTCCCTCCTCCTCCTCCTCCTCCTCCTACAACAAAACACAAGATTGTTCTAAGAAAAACACCAAATATTTTGCAAAGCATTACTTCATGGTTTAATGATTAACTAAACCGAAATATCGAGATTAACAGTGGCTTATTCTCAAATTGAAAAGCGGGGTGGGGTCCTAAAGAGACGGGATGTGACTTTTATCCGGGCTTTGCAAAAAATACCAGATAAAAACTTTAATGAATTTTGTTTGTTTGTTTACTTTCTGTTGTTTTGTTTTGGGGGCCTTCAATATTGGGACGCTGCCCCCATACTACCGTATATTCCAACTCATAACAGTAATTGTATCCGAATGAATTTGATTACGTTGAAGGATCAAATTTACGAGAATCTCTGCATTTTAAATAGATTCTATTAAGGGCCCCTAGCAATCAATAAAAACAAACTTAGATAAATTCTTTCATATATTTCGATATATTTTTTTGACATTGGAGTGGGCCTAGATGTCACTTAACGTGTATTAAACAGTAACACCAAGCTCGCGCAGGACATGGGTCCCTATAGCGCGCACTGCAGCGTGGTTCTCTTCGTAGGTGGGCTGAATCTGGTTCTCGGGTAGCAGGAACCCGTACTCGCCCGTGTCACGAAGCTCCACGGTGTAAGAATACTTGGCGCCCAGTCCGCCTTGGGTGTCGTCTCCGAATCGGGAGAAGGCGGCATAACCCCAGTCACTGGTCACACCCGAGCAGGCATCTGGAAGGAAAGAAGAAATACTGTTCTCTGAAACTGGATGATCTCCTTATTGGTTCCACGACAACTTCTTCTGCGAAATTGCTCCACGGTCGATATACATGTACAAATTACAACTGTTGCCTATAAAGTTGTAATAATTTTTCTTTCCCAGCTCTTTTCATGAAATGATTGTAATGATTTTTTTTCTTGATATACATCTTCTCAGAACGTTATTGATCAATATCTGTGACTCTATAGATAAATGAAGCTCTTAGAAGATATCAACAAGAAAATCATATCGTCACAATTATTTCGTGAAAAGAGGTAAAGAAAAGTTATTCCAACTTTCTGGGCAACCGGGTATATACACTAATCGAATTCATAACTTCAGCCCTGGACCAAACTCTGTAAAACCGACATGAGACCGACTCCTAACCGACTTATTGTTGGCCTTAGTGTATATAATATATGATGTATATTTTAACCTTTTTTAATAAGGAGGGGATGGGGTGGTCTGTTGTAGGTCAGATGTTGGTATTGTTGATATGACGAGGGTATAAACCCTAACCATAAACCTAACCTAAAAACCAAATTTGAACTCTAACCCTATACCCTACACCTCTGACACAATAAAGTCCGGATAAACTGGTGGCGGAGCATAATGTTGGAGCGCCGAAAAACTATGGCTTTCTTAGAAAATAATGATCTAGCACACTATCATAGAAATAACCAGCATCGGAGAGTTATGGATAATAACAGGAGGTTAGCAAAACAAAAAGGAGACCTATATTGAAGGCTCCCGTTTTTTTAGGATTTTTACAGGCGTTTCCAGCTTCCAAAATTCTCCTTAATAAGCTGGCAAAACAAGAGTCGAGAAAAGAGATTTTATCAGTCAGGAGAGGAATTAGGTAAGGAAGAGAAGGATGAATATGATGAAAGAATAATATTGATAATTACAAGAAGAAGGTGAAGAGGAGAAGGTGGAGGGGGAGGAGAAGGAGGAGAAGAAAGGGGAAGGAGGAGGGGAGGAAGAGGAAAAGAAGTGTAAGGAGGAGGAGGGAAGGAGGAGGAGGAGAAGGAGTAGGAAAAGGAGGAGGGTAAGGAGGGAGGAGGAGAAAGTGAGGAAGAAGGAGTAGGAGAATGAGGAGAAGGGAAGGAGGGCAGGAGGAGACAGATAGAGAGGAGGGAGAGAGAGAGAGAGAGAGAGAGAGAGAGAGAGAACAAATTCTCACATAATATCTCGGCACCGGCCCCGTACTTATACTCGACACCATGCACATCCATCATGGCGGTCTGCATAGCCGACGCCAAAACCATCTATGGTGGAGGAAAACAAAGGAAGGAATTAATAGTCACCCAAGACTAATTAGGGATCAATAACGGTACTACAAACAAAAATTGTAAAACAATAGAACATAATAAGAATACCGTTATGATAGTATGTAAGACGAGGCATCATTTTGCTGATGTACAATTACTGCGTCACTCCGTACGCGAGTGACGTCATTAAACAAGCGTTGAATGCAAAATGAACAGTCCAAACATTATTATTTATTTATTTATTTATTTATTTATTAATTTATTTCATTTACAATAATATTACTAATAATAATGGCTTCTTATATAGCGCACATGTCCGCCACGTCGTGACGCTCCTGGCGCTGCCCGATTATTACCCTGGCTTTAGCAAGGCGGCCATTACGGCGCTCTAGTATTTCAAGTAATTAATTCCTGCCAGGTACCCTTTTACATCACCTGGGTTGAGCGTGGCAAATGTAGATCAATGTATTGCCAAAGAAAATTGGTGCCTTGGCTGGACTCGACCCGCGGACCTTGTGATCGACAGTCCGATGACGTATCCACTCAACCACGACACCTTTATTTATCATGTTTCCAAGTGACTAACCTGGTCATCAAAGTCTTCGGTGCGAGGATTAGAGTCGAGGTACGACCAAGGTGCAATGATGACCTCAGAGTAACTGTGGAAGTCGATGAACACCATGAAGTCTTGCCCATCGGCCTTCTTCCCCCGTAAGAAACTGACGGCGTGTTCGACTTCGATCTCGGAGAGAGCATTTGAGCCGCGGTAGGTTTCGGAGCATTCCCATGCGCTGGCCCCGACACCTGCATAAACACATAAGAACTTTGAGGTTTGATACGTGTATAAGGAATTTGTCTTGAATCTTTTCAGAAGGCATGATTGTCTTCTGAACAACCTCTGCAAGTGGCAAAGCTATTAGGAGGGACTCGTACCGCGAACCATGTGATTCACAGTCCGGTGACCAATCCACTAGACCACGACACCTCTACCTCTTCGAGTTTCGTATTCCCTTTAATAGTTAGGTTTAGGATGTAAGGGACGTTTCCAACGGCATACCTCCCCATTCGTAGGGCCAGTTTCTGTTTGGGTCCGTACCAGTGCAAGGTGAGGCAAGGTTTGATGACCGGGTCTTGCGCCACATTCGATCCTGGAAAACAGCAACGTGATTAAATAAATAAGTAGATAAATAAGTTAATAAATGAATAGATCAATTAATAGATGAATAAATGAATGAATCAATAATAAATGAAAATAAACTAATAAATAATTAAATGAATCGATTGATTTATTCATTAACTAATAGAAGATAAATTAATAACTGGGATTTTTTTTTAAGCATCAGCTGTTTAGAGAAAGTATCTCTATCTGTAATAAATATTGTACGAAATGAAAATTATGATCAATGAAGTATATTCTGTCTCTTCTGTAGTTCGATTAATTAATTTCGTCTCGTCAAAATGTAGAAATTCATTTTGGAAAAGATAATATAGATCTGTTTGTATATTCGTTGACTGTTTAGAGTATATAAAAGTAATCATTATCGTCATTTATAAATTCGTTCAGTGTACAAAAAGGTCTACATGTGCATAACAATATAGCAAGATATGATTCTTTAAGACTTATGGAAAGTAACATTTATTGATGCGATCTGCATTTACAAGGATCGCCTTTTGGAATCAATATTTCGCCTGCTATACTAGTACGAGCAGAATGGAGTTTTTGACATGATTGTATACCGATAACCAAGTGTGGCTATATCCGTCAACGTTCAGAGATGGGACGATGTACCAGTCTAGGTTGTCGAACATTTTGACAGCTAGGTCGTCACCGTTGTCGTACTCATCCAGAAGCTTTGGAAAAGGAGCAAAAAGGGAGTACCATGAATGGAAGGAAACGGACAGGCAGGCAAACAAACCAAAAGACAGAAAAATGCTTGAAAATTCTAGTTTCTACAATAATGAAAGCTGAAGTATAGAATCAACACTTAAAAATGTAGATTTGTGACACTTTTCAAGCTATAGGAAGAAATAATTATCTTGTAATGTTTGCCCATCCTCTTTCTCTCTCTCTCTCTCTCTCTCTCTCTGTCTCTCCATCCCAGTCTATACCTATGACTCTTTGTCTCTCTTTCTCTCACTCATTCTCCTTTTCTCTTTCACTACCTCTCTCCCTTCTTTTTTTCTCTCTCTCTCCCCTCCAGCTCCTTCTCTTTCTTTCCTCCTTCCCCTTATCTTTGTCCCTTTCTCTTTGTCTCCACAGCTCTCACTTTTCCCTCTTCTTCTCTCCACGCACGTTTCCTTCATTTCTTTTTTTCACTGCCCTCCCCCCCCCCTCCCCCCCCCCCCCCCCTCTCTCTCTCTCTCTCTCTCTCTCTCTCTCTCAATCTCTCGTTCTATCTATACCTTTTGAGTGAATCCCATTACAGTAGCTGGTGAGACCCATTCTCGAGCATGAATACCGCCCTCAAACCAGACAGCTGGTGGGTTTGCAGACTGGCTTCCAGTTCCTCGAATCTTTGAAAGCAACAGGAATTAGTGACAATATACGTAGTATATACAACCAATTTTAGAATATTGTGCTCAAGCGTTCCATAGCAGTCTTACAGTAGAACAAAATAATAATCTTGAAAAAATACAACGTAGAGTATGTAAGATTATTTTAGGGCCTAAGTTACATGTACATTACCTATTCTAATGCATGTCAAGTATGCAATTTACCAACTCTTGAGGAGAGGAGACTAGCACTTTGTAGAAAATTCCCAAAATCCCTTTCAAATCATTTCATTAGTCAAACCTGGTTACCTCAGAAAAAAAAAAAACATGTTGATGGAGACATATTTTTAAGTGACCCCAAAATTGTGGAGCGTGTGTGCAGCGCTTTGTAACTGCAAGGAAAAGGCGCTATATCAAATATCGTTTTGGACTGGATATTGTGCGATTTTTAAATCATCAAAATGATGAAATTTAGTCAATCTTGCTGGAAAATCATTTACAATGACAACACTACACATATAAACAAGTTTAAGGACTGCACACAAAATATGGAACTTTAATTTTTAAGAATCTCTAGTAATATTTGGGTTACAATGGCATTTCAAGAGCAATTCTCTCTATCCGACTTTGCCAGTGTGATGTTATTTTCATATCGAATGAGAACGTGATCAAATATATTCCATTACGACAAGATATCATTCTTAAACAAACTAATGTGTGAAAGATATATTTTACCAACCTTAATTCCTTTAATGGGTCGTCCTTCGTATGAATCTCCAAGCAGGAACGGTGTGACGATATGACTATATTCACTAGCTATGTCATCAACCCATTGCTGAATCTGATTTAAACAAAATTTAAAAAACAGATTTAGGGTTCAGGGAAGAGAGCTAATGTAATAAAATTGCAACATTAAAAAGCGGGTATGTTTTGCACTTGAAAAACCTTTGGTGGCATAGATAGACTGCGAAAGGTGTTAACAAAAATACAAATGTGTGACTATACAATCATGTTATTCTTTGCAGGATAATCAGGCAGAAAAAATAGGCTTCTTCCAATATCATTTGCAACGATTTTGATGCATCATTTCATCGGGATTTTGTTTTCTTCTTCAGGGCGTGAACAAAATTAATGCCATTTAATTAATTACCTCGTTGTAAGGATGATAAACGTTGTAGTCGAAGGTACTCAACGCAGTCCCACTCAGTCGCTCTCTTTCCCGCCTTTCTGATATTTCGGACATCTGATTGGACACAAGTACGCTGACGTCATCTATATTGACATCGAAACCCAGCCCCTTATGCTTCAAGAGCATGCGCAGAGGGGCCTGGAGCTCGGGTCGTACCATTACATCGACAGGGTGATTTCGTATTTTAAGGACAGGGGTCCAGAAATCAAACTGTTAAAGCAATGACAAAAGTAAAAAATCGAAATGAATCAAGGTAGAAATTAGTTAGGATTGTTTACGAATTGGTTGATAATGATATTGGCTATTTGTTTTGTTTAGATTGGTGATATAAATGTTATTGGCTGTTCATCAATTCAATCATCAATATCATTTCGCCAACGGTTTGTAAGCCAAATGTTAATTAAGTGATAATTGATGTATGACAGTTATATAAGTTATATCATTGGACGGTGTTTAGTAACTGGTCTATCAATTAAAGATATTAACGTATTTTACCTTGGAAAACTATGGGAATATATGACAGTATATAACATGTATAGTGTGCTATCGGGATATGCGGTTATTAACGGGTCTTAATATCTTAAGCCCACGTATTTTTACCGCTTATCGAATAATCATTTTGTTCAAATAAAATGAGATAATTAACCAGCTGAAAAAGTTCTCACGATTAAAGCAGCTTTGTAATCCGAAATATAATTCTCGGTTAGATTCGACTTTATACAGTGGGCTAGTAATTGTAATATAGTGTAATTATCAGACAGTGGACTAACTACAGGGGCATGTGTCCCAAATTGGATAATGACAACAAAGGGAAAAGGCGAGAAAAGGAAGAAAAAATAAAAGAAGAAGAGCGAGAAAAGGAGAAAAAATTAAAGGTAGAGGGTAAGATAATGTGAATTTGGCACGATAAAAACCCCTAGTACACACTTGCATTTCAGCAAACATAGTAAAACAGGTGGCGCCTCCCTCCCACTTTGCCTCAAAGCCATATTTTGTCACACTCCGTCCCTCGGATAGGACCCCTTTCCTTACCTCTTCACCTCTAGTCCGTTCAAGGTCACTCAACCATTCAAGATGGTGCTCGGTTGCTGGTCTTATCCGCCATACTTGGTAACTTGAATCGAAACAGTGAACATTGATTAATTGATGGTAATCAGTTAATCAGGTTTTGATCTTCGGCACTCTCGTTCTCCCTTTAATTTTATAATTGTTTCATAAAATTTTCTGTCTCATATTGTACACTTTACAATGTTTTCATTCACCATTAAAAATTCAAAATTTAGTTACTTGTTGGATGGATTAAAGTATCTGGAAACGTGTACCTCGTTTTGAATGTCTCATTCAACTTGTCATGAGACGGAACGAGAGCAGAGACAGAGAAGACAAACGCAGACATAGAGTAAAAGACGGATATAATCATTACGAGTTATTTTAATCATACGTACCCTTCATATTTTGCATCTGCAACACAAGCAACCAATACCAGGAGAAAAAGTATTCCCACAAAATTCATGATTGCGAAGATTCAAAGAATACTCGCCTACGATGTAAAGGCATAACCGTAAAATGAGGATGTATATTTAAAACAATTCAGTAACGGGTCTCTTCTTATCTGATATAATTATTATGACAGAATGATCCATCATGATAATTATAATCTCAGCCAGGGGCGGCGATTTCTTTTCATGACCGGGGGGACGAAATGCGAGGAACGAGGGAAGAGTGACGTAATGAGCAAAAACGTTTTTTGGGGGAGAAAAAAATCCGCATCATCACCGCTCTTACAATATACATACAGGCCCCGCGGAACGTTTTTCAAGGTGGGAGTGGGGGGGGGGGCTAAAGTGTTTGCGATCAGATAGAGCAAAGCAAGTGGGGCGTAAATTGGCGTGGGGTCCAGGGGCGGAGCCCCATGAAGCTCAGAGTTTTTAGGCATTTAATAAGGGTCAGATGAGCATTTTGATACCTTTTTTGTGACACTTGCATGCAGGTCACTAATCGGAGTGGGGTCCAGGGGGCGAAGCCCCCAGAAGCTCAGCGGTTTTAGGCATAAAATTACGATCAGATGAGCATCCAGGGGCCGCCTAAGGGCCCTTGGTGGGGTCAGATGAGCATCCAGTGGCCCGCCGAGGGCCCTGGTGGGGTCCAGGGGGCGGAGCCCCGGAAGCTCAGGTGTTTTAGGCATTTAATTGTGGTCAGCTGAGCAACCAGGGGCCTGCCTTAGGGCACTTGGTGGGGTATAGGGGCAGCAACATTTGTAAATTAGTCACTGGTATCGAATTAGAAATAAACCGCGTTTGAGTTTTATCGGGAGGGGGGGGGGGGGACTGCCCCAAGCCCGAGTGAGTGAGCATAATTAATGAGAGGGGTGAAGGTGACGAAAGTGATTACCCCCTCATAGGTTTTGAAGTTTTGTTGTATTACAGAATTATATTCCTTAGCAAAACTATAGTATGAAAACAAACAATGTACTGTTTTCACACTTCACTTTTCTACAATATTTACTTGTACATTTTGAAGGATATTATGCAAGGGAGCAAAGCTCCCGAGCCAGAAGATTTTCGCATTTAAATTTGTCTAAACGCTGCACTCTTGGGCCCTCCAAAGCCTAATAGTGTGTTACAGTCTTTAGTCAGTATTTGCTGTACATTTATTTTTTTGTACTTTTTCAAATTTTCCGGGGGACGATCCCCCCTACAAAAATCGAGGGGGGAGTTTCCCCCCCCCCCCGTCCCCCCGGGATCGCCGCCCCTGATCTCAGCTATTTAAATGTAGATAAGAGCGTTATCGATATTCATGGCGGCAAGCGTTGCCTAAAGTTTACAGCAAAGGTCACCGACAGAAATACACAGGCGCGTACGCAGGATTTTTTCGAAGAAGGGGGGGGGGGGTTAAAATTTAAAAATCGCGCCAAAAATTTCGCAACGACTCAGCCAGCCGCTGAATAAGCGGGGGGGGGGGGGGGGTTGGTCACCCATTACAACTTTTTTTTTTTGTAATTTAGTTTTTTTTTAATTGAGGGGGGGGGGGTCCTCCAAAACACACACACAAACAAAAATTCAGGGGTTTCGACCCCCACCCCCCCCCCCCCCTGTGTACGCGCCTGGAAATACAGCATGCATTCACGTGTCATATTGTTTTGAATTATGAATAGTTTCTTTAATCGTAACGGCTGTAATTTTTTGGATATAGAGAAAGTGAATTAACAAACAAGAGGTGGAAATGGTTTATGACACTTTGCTCTATGCCTGAGGTCAGCATCTTAAAAACACCTGTAACATCTGTTTAGCATGTCTACAATAATGGTGTCTATATACTGCAAAGATGATCAGGATAATATCGACATGTTCATAACCCATGTTTATCCTCTCTCTCTCTCTTTCTGTCAATCTATATCAGTCTGTCTGTCTGACTGTCTCTCTCTCTCTATGTTACTCTGTCTGTCTGTCCATGGACCTACTACGGTCTGTCCCCCTCTCTCTCTCTCTCTCTCTCTCTCTCTCTCTCGATATCTCTCTCTCATCCTTTTCTACTCTCACTCCCCTCTTCCCATCTCTCTGCCTCTCCCTGATGAATGAGATGAAGACAAAAAATAATGAAATGAAACATTTTTTTTTCCCGAGAATAATGAAGTGTTTATTACGAAAAAAGAAAGAACTTTATGATCTTGGTAAATCACACTACATTCGTTTAATCAGTCTGGCTTGCCCCTCCCCTATGAAAAGTGCCCCTCCATGGTTCGGCTTATCTACGCCAGTAATAACATTCACCTATTATAATCTAATACAAATCAATATGATGTTGATATCCTATTTCAAATGCGTTGTAACTTGAATGGTGGCAAACTCGACATTTTAGTTGTTGTTATTTTTGCTTTTTAATATATTTGTTTTATACATATCTATTAATTTATTTATTCATCCATTTATTAATTCATTTATCTATTTATTCATTCGTAATATTATATTCATTCATCCATCCATCCATCCATCCATTCATCCCTGCATCCATTCATCCATTCATTCATTCATTTGTTCATTGTTTTCAGCTCAATGCGATGAAACCCAGTTCTCTCAAGATATGGTCGCCCATGGCGCGCACGGCAGCGTAGATCTCCTCGTATACCGGCTGAATCTGCCATTCCGGTAGGAGCTGTCCGTACTCGCCCGTGTCTCGGAGTTCAATGGTGTACGAATACTTGCAGCCGAGGCCGCCGTCCGTATCTTCGCCCATCGCGACGAAGTCCGCGTAACCGAAGTCTTTGCTCGACCCTGCCGCCGCGTCTGGAAATTAAAAGAACAACGTAAATACTATTGATAATTGAAAGTCATGTTTGCTGTTGTAATATTGATAACGGCACTTAGAGACTTCGGTGGTAAGCGCTTTATAAGGAACGTTTTATTTTTTTAATTTTTTTTTATCATTTCGTAGCACTTCTGTATTTATGATAAAACAATATTGTTGAAAGAGGAAGTACAATTTCTCTATTAATTATCAAACAACCTGAAGCACTGATATCTTACACATGATTTCTGCACCGGCTCCATAGGTAAACACTGTGCCATGGACACCGTTGATCGCATCTGCGACAGCTTGAGCGAAGGCCATCTGATAATAAAATAGATAGAAATTGGATTAAGAAATAACTCCAACACGATTATCAGGTTATCTACATTAATCCGACCGCTTAAAATATCTTAATGCACATCACAAGATTGACAATGGTGCTATGTTGTTATCTGTTTGTATTATGTGTTTTAGTTGTGGACCGAAGTATACATACTATTCGGAAACAGAGTTGGCTAACTCTATTTCAGTGGGCCAAATTTCGTTGGCCAAACTCTGTTCGTGTTTTGATATATGTGGTTAAGATATTAGGCCTCCGTGTGATTGAAACTATGGAGGAGGGGGGATGGGGGTCATCCAAATAGACCGAAAGACCGTAAAACCGACTGTGCACAAGACTGACAGACGGTAACCCACTAGACCGGCAATGACAGTCTCGTGAACCGTTTAGACACTTATTTTAAGCAGATTCAATGGACCGACGACCCACCATACCAACATGATTCTTTTTCTTCCTATCGTTTCTTGTGTATTTCTTTGGTTTTTTGGTCTCACGGACTTTTTTTCAAACTTTCTAATTTGTTTCCATTTTCTTTATTGGCTTACTGAGAATATCTTTATACACAATGATACATAAAATATTGAAAAGTTACTCATACAGGGAGAGGAGGGAGGGGGGATTTCTCTGCTTCGTCGTCGAGATCATAATGTTACCTGGTCATCGTAGTCCTCGGTGCGCGTACCGACGGACTTGTACGACCATGGTGCGATGATCTTCTGGGAGTAGCTGTGCCAATCGATGAAGACGATGAAGTCCTGGCCCTGTGATTTGCGTTCCCTTAGGAACCTGGTCACAGCGGCCACCTCGGGCTCCGAGAGTGGATTCGGACCGTGGAACTTGTCTGAGCACGGCCAGGGACTGGTACCAGCGCCTGTATATAGAGCGAACATGTCATTTATGTGTATATGCTTACATTGAATATACCAGGATTAAGATATCGTTTTCGGACCCCCCCCCCCCCCCCCACTGCCTTCATCTTCCTGTCTTTTTCCCGCTTTTTACTGACTATTCAATGAATATGAAAACAGCACATGATCAATTAGCATAATGAAAGCTGTAAGAAGGCGTAGAATCCCATACTGTCATCCCGGACAGCAATCCCCTCTCCCCTCGTAGAAAAAAAAAAGAATTTAGCACCCTATTAGTCAACCCCTTACTGACAAGAACCCTTTCTCTCTATCCTTTCTTGTCAGTGAAACGAGATTTAAGAAAATACCAACCTCCCCATTCGAATGCCCAGTTTCTGTTTGGATCCTTTCCTGTACAGGAGGAGCCCTGGTTCGGTGAACGAGTCTTCCTCCACAAACGGTCCTGCATTGGAATAAGAGAACAAAATTTAAGTTCTGACCATGAGGGGTGTTGTCAGAGCAAACTTGCCAACCAGCCAAGAAAAGGTCCGCGATTTGCCGACGAGGTTCGACATATTGTGACGACATTTTTGTTATGGAAGACTCCAGAGGGTGGCACTTCCCCCACCCCTTTATGGAAGCCCTTACTTCAAGAAAAAAACAACTAAAATGACCCTTAAAAATGGGTAGGGGTTTCGTCCAAACCAAATCTGATTCCCCCCCCCCCCCGGATGGAAGCCCTCCCCTTCCCCTTCTCACAGATCATCCTAGATTTATATGCCCTATGATAGAAATCAAACAAAGAATTACGTCTGCAATGAAAATTAGCGCTAAGTCATATTTCCACGAAAACGGTTTTTTATTCCAAATCATAGAATAAGATTTGATGTATCAGCATATCAGAACAAATAAATTATACAATTAAACAATTGATAATAAAAGAAAAAGATTGATATCAATACTTACAGGTCCCCATGTGTATGAATAGCCGTCGACATTGAGAGATGGAACAATGTACCAGTCTATATTGTCAAGCATGTTCGTTGCCAAGGTGTCGCCATTTCTGTAGTCGTTAAGAAGCTATTTTGTTCCAAGATAGATATCGTAAATTAAATTAACATGATAAATAGAATAGGTCAGTTTTTAGATTCTTTCCAACACGATCATGCGGACTTTCGAGAAAAAAAATCAAACTAAATATTCCTATTGACGTATTCATAATATTGTAATATACAAATAGGGTGGTTATAATGCCCTTGAATCTATTTTTCGAAAGCCTTTGCACTCATGTTAGTCTAATAGTCATTTTTGTCTTTACTGTTTAAATTGATATGTTGAGCATTCTTTTATGTAGTGTTCAAACGGTTTCATAGGGTAACATGTGTACTTAAAGTACAAAAGTAGATGAAACACTTATATCCAGAATATTAAAGCTTTAGGTTTGTCTTTTCTTAAATCTTATGAATAAAATCGAGAATCGAGTGAATTAAACTTAATAACTATCGCGTAAAATTCCACCTCAAGGAATTATATAGAATTGACCTCTTTTATTTCAGCCGACTGTAGTAATTTTGTCGGTGATGATTTAAAGATTACTTTTTTTAAGGTGTTTTATTTCCTCAATACCAGTAGAAGTACATATAATTAAAATCATGCAATTTACATCATAATGAATTTACATCATATTCAGAATAATCCAATTACAATTATAGTATACAAAAGTATAATTCTTAATTAACATCAATTGCTAAACAATAATGATATACAGTTAAAAAAATACCCCCCCCCCCAATACAAAATATATATTACACAATGCAATACAAAATTATAATTCTGAATTTACATCAATTGCAAAACAACTCTTTCATGCATTTCCTTATTCGTTTAAAACGACAATAGCAATAACAATAATGATAAACTCCTTAGTCATTTGATGTTCTCTTTTTTTTCTTTCAAAAACGCTTTATCCGTTGAAGTAAACAAATAAATAAATGCTTGTACATGAAATAATATAATCTGTCATTAATAATAAAAATAGTAGGCCTACTACTTCTGAAAATAGAAAAACTCCTCCAGAGAGAGAGAGAGAGAGAGAGAAAGATAAAGAGAAAAAAAGAAGAAAACACACACACACACACAAACACATCAGAAACGAGCACGGAAGAAAGAACAAAATTAAGGACGATATAAAAGTTCTGACTTTGTTTTTGATTGTTGGGCACTCGCGTCCGACTTCGGATACGAGACCCTGCTAGAGAAACTTGAAAGATAACTCCCCCAATTACATCCCGCTTCTTCAACAAATCTATCATGCATTCAAAACCAGTTAGAATAGTGTTTAAATTTGCTAAAACTAGCACAGAGATTGCTAGTTGATTATAGTTCCCTACTTATTATGTATATTTTTAAATTTAAGTATTTAAGGGCTGATTATATTCTATAGAAATAATCACACAGGGGTAAAATCGATATGAATCGGGTCTTAATTTCAATCAATACAGGTCTGCATAACAAGATAAAGAAGCGTTAACAAATCACAGGTCATGTTTAAACATTAGACATTTAAACAATAATGTGTCCAAATAGGCCATTTTTGTAATGTATGCAGATTTATACTCAAATGACTCGATACGAATCATTTCATTCACCTGTTACAAATAATTGCATTTCAATAGTCACAATGCAAATTGCATATATATTACGCGTTGTTAGGTAAGACGTAACTAATGTTTGCAATTTAAATTCTATTGAGTTACATTTATTCGTAACAGGTGCATGAAATAGTTTGTATCGAGGGCTTCGAGGCGCATCACAAAGGCATATATGCATAAATTTGTTACATTACGAAAAATAAAAGTTTTTCAAATGTATGGATGTTCTTTCCCACAGCTGCCCCTTTGACCTACAATTTGCTCTCTCTCTCTCTCTCTCTCTCTCTCTCTCTCTCTCTCTCTCTACCTTTTGAGTGAATCCCATGACAGTAGCTGGTGAGATCCATTCTCGGGCATGAATACCGCCCTCAAACCATACCGCAGTTGGGTTTTCAGATTGGCTTCCAGTTCCTCGGATCTGAGAAAAGAAATGAAATAGAAAAAAATGTATCATAGTCTGTTTTGATTACTTGAGAATTAGCAACGTGAATCGCTAAGTTTTTTTTCATAAAATGCAATTTAATTTGGTAATGGAATACCACGACGAAAAATATAGTGCAAAAATACTGTACATTTTGGTATTTCACAACGCGTGATTTTGGCTGGCTTGCATCTTATAATTGTGTCTCAAAACTATCTGACATCTCTTTAGATTTCTTAAAATTCATCAATATTAAAGCTAAAAGAATAATACAGTTGCGACACCTTTTTTAGAATTAACCTTGAATTTCATACATTTCTGAATTCATTGTTTTATCTATCCATAAATGAAAATTAGAATTTGCTTTGTTCGATGGATAGACTCAGAGTCGTAATATTTGACATGTTGATTATGCAATGCGTTGTTGCAGTACTTCTTTCAAAACTTCTCTACTTTTACTCTCTTTCCTCTTTCTATTTTTTTCCTTTCCTCTTCTATTTTCCTTTTTGTATTCGGATTGTTTTTTATAAGGCGTATCCAACAAAAGCATAATGCTTTTAGGAAGTACGCCGTCTTCCATGTATTAAAACTGTTGCTATGCTAAACTGTCATGTATGTATACATTTATTAATTTGTGGTATGGGAAAGAAAATGGAAGAAAACAAATACTTTCAATTGGATTGAATCAAACTAGATCAATAATGAGTAATGTTTAAACTCACTTTGAATCCATTAATTGCCCGCCCTTCGTAGGAGTGATCCAATAAGAAAGGTGAGATGATGTCAGAATACTCTTCTGCTATGTCAGACACCCACTGCTGAATCTAAAATGAGGTTGATAAAATGGTGTTTGTAAAGGGGGACATTTATGGAAATATCTCTCTCTCTCTCTCTCTCTCTCTCTCTCTCTCTAAGTGCCATATCGTTTGAATTTGGCGATGCTGTTCCACAACCCTCGGCTCCTAGCCTTCTGTATTAGTACCACTGTAACCACTCCCAGTTCTTTCACTCCTCTCTCGTCCAACAATTTCTGCAGACTGTCCATCCAAAGTATCCCCCTTCCTCCCCTACTCCTTCTTCCCACAATTTCCCCTGTCAAAGCAAGATTCTCTAGGTCTTCTTTACGTGTAATGTGACCCATGAACGTCAACTGCCTAATCAACATCTCTCGTATCATTATGAAAATAGCTGATAAGAAAACAAAATGTACCATTAATTCGAGAAATTGATATATGGGCAAATTTGATATGGTTGTGTGTACTTGGCCTATTCAATTTAAAAGGGGGCACGAGGAGGTTTATAAACCGAACCCTCCAATAAATTAATAATGATTATTAATTAATAAAAAAATTAATGTGCCATTCAACAATCGCACAAATCACCTCATCGTATGGATGATACACGTTATAATCAAAGTCCGCCAATGAGCTTATCCGTGGCTCGCGATCCCGCCTCTCATTAATCGCAGACATCTGATTGGCTATGAGTTTACCGACGTCAGAGATGGTGACCTTATATGGCAGTCCCATGTTCTTCATGACGTCAGGGAGCGTACCGTGGAATAGGGGCGGGACCATGATATCGACTGCTTCGCCAGGTATCTTGGAAATACTCGACCAGAAGTCAAGCTAGAGAATGAGAAGAAAAAATCCAGTCATTTGATGGCGATAAATTCTGCCATTGTTTTATGCAAAATAACATCAATTTTTGTAATTTATCACACGCATTTATAGCAATACTCTCGATATTTGGAAACACGTGTGGACCGTTTAATGTACAATTTTTTAAATTCTATTTTCCATTTTTGTTTTATCATTGTTATTTTTGAGGAGCTCATAATCAAGTTTATGGCATGTGCTGGGGAAAAAGAAGGAAAAAAGAGGCAAGGAATGGGGATTTCATGAAATATGAAATAACTTGTTATTAGAAGAAACTTACCGCATCTCCAAGATTCGATTCTATTTCTCTCAGCCATGTTCTGTGTGAATCGTTGGCGGTACCACTCTCCACACTTGCCATCTGCATTTCATGTTAAAAAAATTGTTTTGCTGTAATTCTTTCGCAAGTCTGAAATTGTCCTTCAGTAAAATGAGACGATTTTGGGACATCTTTGTAATGATATCCGTGTCTTTATATGCCCTGAGTCGGCAATGAGATAGAAAAGATTGTTGTGATAAGTATTTACATTTTTTTCTTAACAGATTATCTTCTGGCCACGCAATTCTGGTGTACAACAGAATTTTACATCTCTCATAAGTAACTCCACATGTGCCACATAATCACCTCTCGTTATTTTCAGTTTTAAAGGAGCAGTATAAACTACAGCCTAGTTTGAACCCCCCAACCCCCCCCCCAACCCCCGCTCCCACATCTCTACACGTCTCTATACAGGTTTCGTCTCTGTCCCTTCCATTTTTCTATTAATATCTTCTTCCATGTTCATTTCTCGTACTCCTTGTCTATTTCGTTGTCGCTCTCCACATAAAAAAAAAGAAAGAAATCGAACTCACCCTTCGTATTTAGCGTTAGTGAAGCATACAGAGGCGAGAAAAGTCGCGAGCAGTCTGAGTCCCTTCATGATGATGCAACTTAATCTGATGACTCTAATGATTCTGATGGTGGGTTTTTGTTTTATGACGGTCTTCTTTCGTTAGACCAAGGTCCAAGAGCGAAGGTTCAGGAGTGTGATTGGATGTCGCATTACCAACTACATTCAATTTTGTTTTGCTCGAAAAAGGTAGCCTCGTGGCCGGAACTTTTTATGGCACCCCTCCCGCCCCCCCCCCCCGCCCCCCCCCCCCCTCTCAGTGTTATTTAGGATACGCGTATGCTCGTTCCCTCTCTTTGAAAGCACCCCCTATCTGAGGACTGCCAACATTTCCGACCCCCCTATCGCGGGCTTTTCGCGGGCTTTTCCTGCCTTGGAGACCCCCCTAAATACGGAAAAATGCTCAATGTACCCCCCTAAATTCGGAATAATTTCTCAGGAGTCCAAAGAGATGAGAGAAAAAAAAGAAAAACACCCCCTTTTTAAAGAAATCTCCGGGTGAAAAGTCAAATACACCCCCCTTTTTTTTTTTTTTTTTACAATTCTCGGGCCGGACTTTGTCGCACGAAAAGTACCCCTTTACCGGACATTTTGGTAACACGCATGCGGTCATTCCGACCCCGGAGTGGGGAGGGGGGGGGGGGGGGGCCGGGGGCACCCCTATTTTGCTCACGGTTAAAAGAAATGATAATAACAATAGGTGGCCTATATATCGCACTTATATACAGGCGACAAAATATACTTGATGCGCGTCACTCTTACCCTGCTTTTACCAGTTTCGGTGCTCAGAGCATTCAAAATATTTCTTCCTACCGGTACATATCACATCACTTGGCAAAATGTGAAAATTCATGAGCAGTTTATGCGGTTTTATTGTCGTTGACATTAAAATCTGAGGACTTTTGTTGTATTTTTATATACTTCGGCTAAGTCGTCCGACTGTAAAAAAGAGTCTAACGCGCCCGACCCCCTCCTTTTTAAAACGGTCGTGCGCCGACGCCCCTTTTCCGTTGAGTATAATATATTCCCTTATTGAATAATGTGATAATATTACGTGTTATGGCCTTTCAAAGGTTTTGACTTATATATCTTGAGAACTTACACATACACGCCCAAGTCGATAAGAAGGATTATTTTGTAGCAATAAGCTTATTTGATAAAAAGCCTTTTACACAATATAACTTCGCATAGTGTTTCACAAAGTGACCAGATAATAACAATAATCATCAGTCGGTTGAAAAATTTGAAAGTCAGGGGGGGGGGTCTCGCAAAAACCTTAAACAGACATGGGTTGTAGGCCTACGACGCCAGCTCCATCGACAATTTCTCTGCTGACAACATCCGACAGTAAACAAGTTTTTAGCTTCAAAACTGTACCAAAAACTATATTTAATCAAATGTTAAAATGTGCACTCACTTTTGAAATATTACAGAAATTTCTTTAAAATATAAAATGTACTTGTTTACATGATTCAAGAAATGGAGGCCTTATACCCCCCCCCCCCCGGCCCCCCCCCCCCCCCCCACATCAATAAATAGAAACTTAGTGATCGTCATTGCATTCATCATGCATAGTATGGGCGGCCAAACGGGCCAATATCAACAGTCACAAAAACAAACAAAGATGCATACAAACAAACAAAGAAGCATACAAACAAACAAAGGACAGAGCAAAATAGACAAAGTACCCAGAAGAAAGGACCAATTAACAAAGAATAAATCAAAGGTCAGAGCAAAATAGACAAAGTACAGGTCAGAAGAAACAGAGGGCGTTTTGGTTTACGGTAAGCAAATAGACATCAGGCACGAAAACGAGAAAGGACAAACTCAAAAGGACATCAGCTCAGCTACGAAGTGACCCTCAAAGGACAACAGAGGGCGTTTTGGTTTACGGTAAGCAAATAGACATCAAGCACGAAAACGAGAAAGGACAAACTCAAAAGGACATCAGCTCAGCTACGAAGTGACCCTCAAAGGACAACAGAGGGCGTTTTGGTTTACGGTAAGCAAATAGACATCAAGCACGAAAACGAGAAAGGACAAACTCAAAAGGACATCAGCTCAGCTACGAAGTGACCCTCAAAGGACAACAGAGGGCGTTTTGGTTTACGGTAAGCAAATAGACATCAAGCACGAAAACGAGAAAGGACAAACTCAAAAGGACATCAGCTCAGCTACGAAGTGACCCTCAAAGGACAACAGAGGGCGTTTTGGTTTACGGTAAGCAAATAGACATCAAGCACGAAAACGAGAAAGGACAAACTCAAAAGGACATCAGCTCAGCTACGAAGTGACCCTCAAAGGACAACAGAGGGCGTCCTCGAGGTTTTTTTCTTTTTAATCTAGGGCCTACTCCAATATAATACGCTGTAGGTCAATACAACAAATATGGGCTTTCATCGAAAGGGTGCGGTGCGGTGCGGCGCGGTGTGGTGTGCTCAACACACCCATTCGATAAAAGAGGGGGGGGGCTTTTCTCGAAAGGGTGCGTTGAGAGCGGAGTACCATTTTAACACACCCTTTCGATGAAAGCGGGGGGGAGGGGGGGGGGGGGGCTTTTCTCGAAAGGGTGCGTCGACTAGTCTTTCGCATCAGTCGTTTAAAATGAGGATCTCGGACAGAAGGTAATAGTTGCCAATTTAAGTATATCGAAAATGTATTAAGTGAAATGGAATGGTCTTGATTACAGAGTGGTCTCTTTGATGGGGGAGACAGAGAGAAGGAAAAAAGGGAAAGGGAAGATAAAAGGAAAGAAAGAAGAGGAAGAAGAAGAAGAAAAGAGGGAAACGGGGGCGAAAGGCTCTTGCCTCCCCCCCCCCCCCCCCGCCAAAAAATAAATAAGAGAGAAGGGAAAGGGAAAGGGAAAGAGAATAAAAAAGGAAAGGAAGAAGAATATGAAGAAAAGAGGGGCTCTTGCCTCCTCCTCCTCCCCCCGCCAAAAGATAAGTAAGAGAGAGAAGGGAAAGGGAAAGGGAAAGAGAAGATAAAAGGAAAGAAAGAAGAGGAAAAAGAAGGAAACGGAGGCGAAGGGCTCTTGCCTCCTAGCCCTTCTTCCCCTCCTCCCCCCCCCCCCCGCCAAAAAAAATAAATAAGAGAGAGAGAGAAGGGAAAGGGAAAGAGAAGATAAAAGGAAAGAAAGAAGAGGAAGAAGAAGAAAAGAGGGTAACGGGGGCAAAGGGCTCTTGCCTCCTTTCTTTCCTATTCTCCCGCTTTTTTGTTTTTCTCTTTCTTTCTTTTCTTTCTTCTCTTTTCTTTCCTTTCTTTTCTTTTTTTCTTTTCTTTTTCTTTTTTTCTTTTCTTTCCCTTTTACTCTCTTTTTCCCCCTCCCCCTTTTCTCTTTTTCCCGACGGCAGCGCAATTTTACCGACAATATCCTGACAGGTGGGGGGGGGGTGTCGCACCCCCACACCCCCTTTGGAGACGCCCCTGCCTTCGCCACTGTTGGCGACCACAAGGCTATCAATACAAATTAAGACATATTAATGAAGATTCTTTTTTAATGTTGCAGAGAGATAAGTATTTTCTCTATGAACTTTTTTAATGGAAAATAAATAATATTAAAAACATGAATACAATAGCGGTATAATGATGAGAGAGATGATTTAAGTCATACTTTTTTTCAATGTGATTGGAGTGGACTTGAGGGTGGGGGGGGGGTCCTCCTAAGATCTCGGCCGTTTCACAGCCGATCGCCGCGAAAATGCATATTTATGGTAATTTATGCAAACAAGGTCAGAGAATTCACATTTTTACCCATAAATCATATATAATTCATATTCGAGCGTTCTTTTTCACTTCATATATTCGTTAGAATAATAATACGACAACAAAGTTGGAAGAGCCAGTTTATCCCTATGTTATCTCTTGTTTTGATTATTTGTATTTATGTATTATATTATTTTGTTATTTCATTTCATTTCTAACCACAATTCAACTATTTTTACCCAAAATCAAACAAATTTACTTGAAACAAGACCAAATAACCAATGTTTTCTCTTTTTTTAAAAGAATAAATGGTATTTCCATATGTTTGGTACATAAATCACAAAAATGAGCGATTTTAGATTTTTTTGACATGCAAAAACAAAAGGTCACGTGACTCCGCAATTATACGTCCGATTTTCAACAAAAAAATGTTTCAAAAGATGCGTAAGACTCGAAAGAAAAAAGTCATGAAAGAAAAACTGCCGCGGTTCCGGAGTAGTCGCGAAATTACTAGAAAGCACTAATCTTTTTTGGGGCCCTCAAAAATTTGAAAAATCGTACCCCCCCCCCCCTTGAACGCCAGGGGGGGGGGGGTATCTCCCAAAAACGGTAAAAATTAACGTGTTTTTTTTACACGTTTTTTTCACAGGGCGGAGCCCTCAGAAGCTCAGGGGTATTAAACATCAAAATTAACGTCGGATGAGCATAATTTTATACCTTATTTGTGACAGTGGCAGGACACAATTTGGTGTTGGGTCCAGGGGGCGGAGCCCCCAGAAGCTCAGGAGTTTTGTCCATTAAATAATTATTATTTTATACCTTATTTGTGACACAGGGGTCACGAATTGGCGTGGGGTCCAGGGGGTGGAGCACCCAGAAGCTCAGGGGTTTTGGGCAATAAATAACGGTCAGATGAGCATATTTTTATATCTATTTGTGACACTGGCAGACAGAGAGAAGGAAAAAAGGGAAAGGGAAGATAAAAGGAAAGAAAGAAGAATAAGAAGAGAAGAGGGAATAAGGTGGGGGGCGAAGGACTCTTGCCCCCCCCCCCCCGCCAAAAAATAAATCAGAGAGAGAGAGAAAGAGAAGGGAAAGGGAAAGATGATAAAAGGAAAGAAAGAAGAAGAAGAAGAAGAAAAGAGGTAAACGGGGGCAAAGGGCTTTTGCCTCTCCCCCCCCCCCCGCCAACAAATAAATAGGAGAGAGAGAGAAGGGAAAGGGAAAAGGAAAGAGAAGATAAAAGGAAAGAAAGAAGCATAAGAAGAAAAGAGGGAAAGGGGGCGAAGGGCTCTTGCCAACAAAATAAATAAGAGAGAGAGAGAAGGGAAAGGGAAAGAGGAGATAAAAGGAAAGAAAGAAGAGGAAGAAGAAGAAGAAAAGAGGGAAACGGGGGCGAAGGGCTCTTGCCCTCCCCCCCCCCCCCCCCGCCAAAAATAAATAAGAGAGAGAAAGAGAGTGAAGGGAAAGGGAAAGAAAATATAAAAGGAAAGAAAGAAGAGGAAAAAGAATAAGAAAAGAGGGAAACAGGGGCGAAGTGCTCTTGCCTCCTCCCCCCCCCCCCCTCCCCGCCAAAAAATAAATAAGAGAGAGAGAGAGAATCTGTTCTGATCCTGGTCCTGATCCTCAAGAGGGATATAAAGATGACCAATAAGAACGTTATCGTTCGAGAGAGAGTGTTTGTTGCTTCTAGAACATTTTAGAATTAAGTCCCATCACATTGCAGTTGTGGGGAGGGACTATGATTATATTACCCCCTTGGATGGCTTCCCATAAGAGTCCGGCTTTGAAGGTTTCGACTGCGTCGCAGGCAAAGATGCTGGGGGGGGGGGGAAAGTAAATTCCAGGCCCTTATGGTTCTTGGAAAGAAGGTGAGTCGATATATATCCGTCTTGCATCTTATGTTGGAGAAGGAGAGGGAAAGAGAAGATAAAAGGAAAGAAAGAAGAGGAAGAGGAAGAAGAATTTGTGTTCTGCCAGTGTCACAAATAGATATAAAAATATGCTCATCTGACCGTTATTTATTGCCCAAAACCCCTGAGCTTCTGGGTGCTCCACCCCCTGGACCCCACGCCAATTCGTGACCCCTGTGTCACAAATAAGGTATAAAATAATAATTATTTAATGGACAAAACTCCTGAGCTTCTGGGGGCTCCGCCCCCTGGACCCAACACCAAATTGTGTCCTGCCACTGTCACAAATAAGGTATAAAATTATGCTCATCCGACGTTAATTTTGATGTTTAATACCCCTGAGCTTCTGAGGGCTCCGCCCTGTGAAAAAAACGTGTAAAAAAAACACGTTAATTTTTACCGTTTTTGGGAGATACCCCCCCCCCTGGCGTTCAAGGGGGGGGGGGGGTACGATTTTTCAAATTTTTGAGGGCCCCAAAAAAGATTAGTGCTTTCTAGTAATTTCGCGACTACTCCGGAACCGCGGCAGTTTTTCTTTCATGACTTTTTTCTTTCGAGTCTTACGCATCTTTTGAAACATTTTTTTGTTGAAAATCGGACGTATAATTGCGGAGTCACGTGACCTTTTGTTTTTGCATGTCAAAAAAATCTAAAATCGCTCATTTTTGTGATTTATGTACCAAACATATGGAAATACCATTTATTCTTTTAAAAAAAGAGAAAACATTGGTTATTTGGTCTTGTTTCAAGTAAATTTGTTTGATTTTGGGTAAAAATAGTTGAATTGTGGTTAGAAATGAAATGAAATAACAAAATAATATAATACATAAATACAAATAATCAAAACAAGAGATAACATAGGGATAAACTGGCTCTTCCAACTTTGTTGTCGTATTATTATTCTAACGAATATATGAAGTGAAAAAGAACGCTCGAATATGAATTATATATGATTTATGGGTAAAAATGTGAATTCTCTGACCTTGTTTGCATAAATTACCATAAATATGCATTTTCGCGGCGATCGGCTGTGAAACGGCCGAGATCTTAGGAGGACCCCCCCCCCACCCTCAAGTCCACTCCAATCACATTGAAAAAAAGTATGACTTAAATCATCTCTCTCATCATTATACCGCTATTGTATTCATGTTTTTAATATTATTTATTTTCCATTAAAAAAGTTCATAGAGAAAATACTTATCTCTCTGCAACATTAAAAAAGAATCTTCATTAATATGTCTTAATTTGTATTGATAGCCTTGTGGTCGCCAACAGTGGCGAAGGCAGGGGCGTCTCCAAAGGGGGTGTGGGGGTGCGACACCCCCCCCCCCCACCTGTCAGGATATTGTCGGTAAAATTGCGCTGCCGTCGGGAAAAAGAGAAAAGGGGGAGGGGGAAAAAGAGAGTAAAAGGGAAAGAAAAGAAAAAAAGAAAAAGAAAAGAAAAAAAGAAAAGAAAGGAAAGAAAAGAGAAGAAAGAAAAGAAAGAAAGAGAAAAACAAAAAAGCGGGAGAATAGGAAAGAAAGGAGGCAAGAGCCCTTTGCCCCCGTTACCCTCTTTTCTTCTTCTTCCTCTTCTTTCTTTCCTTTTATCTTCTCTTTCCCTTTCCCTTCTCTCTCTCTCTTATTTATTTTTTTTGGCGGGGGGGGGGGAGGAGGGGAAGAAGGGCTAGGAGGCAAGAGCCCTTCGCCTCCGTTTCCTTCTTTTTCCTCTTCTTTCTTTCCTTTTATCTTCTCTTTCCCTTTCCCTTTCCCTTCTCTCTCTTACTTATCTTTTGGCGGGGGGAGGAGGAGGAGGCAAGAGCCCCTCTTTTCTTCATATTCTTCTTCCTTTCCTTTTTTATTCTCTTTCCCTTTCCCTTTCCCTTCTCTCTTATTTATTTTTTGGCGGGGGGGGGGGGGGGGGAGGCAAGAGCCTTTCGCCCCCGTTTCCCTCTTTTCTTCTTCTTCTTCCTCTTCTTTCTTTCCTTTTATCTTCCCTTTCCCTTTTTTCCTTCTCTCTGTCTCCCCATCAAAGAGACCACTCTGTAATCAAGACCATTCCATTTCACTTAATACATTTTCGATATACTTAAATTGGCAACTATTACCTTCTGTCCGAGATCCTCATTTTAAACGACTGATGCGAAAGACTAGTCGACGCACCCTTTCGAGAAAAGCCCCCCCCCCCCCCTCCCCCCCGCTTTCATCGAAAGGGTGTGTTAAAATGGTACTCCGCTCTCAACGCACCCTTTCGAGAAAAGCCCCCCCCCTCTTTTATCGAATGGGTGTGTTGAGCACACCACACCGCGCCGCACCGCACCGCACCCTTTCGATGAAAGCCCATATTTGTTGTATTGACCTACAGCGTATTATATTGGAGTAGGCCCTAGATTAAAAAGAAAAAAACCTCGAGGACGCCCTCTGTTGTCCTTTGAGGGTCACTTCGTAGCTGAGCTGATGTCCTTTTGAGTTTGTCCTTTCTCGTTTTCGTGCTTGATGTCTATTTGCTTACCGTAAACCAAAACGCCCTCTGTTGTCCTTTGAGGGTCACTTCGTAGCTGAGCTGATGTCCTTTTGAGTTTGTCCTTTCTCGTTTTCGTGCTTGATGTCTATTTGCTTACCGTAAACCAAAACGCCCTCTGTTGTCCTTTGAGGGTCACTTCGTAGCTGAGCTGATGTCCTTTTGAGTTTGTCCTTTCTCGTTTTCGTGCTTGATGTCTATTTGCTTACCGTAAACCAAAACGCCCTCTGTTGTCCTTTGAGGGTCACTTCGTAGCTGAGCTGATGTCCTTTTGAGTTTGTCCTTTCTCGTTTTCGTGCTTGATGTCTATTTGCTTACCGTAAACCAAAACGCCCTCTGTTGTCCTTTGAGGGTCACTTCGTAGCTGAGCTGATGTCCTTTTGAGTTTGTCCTTTCTCGTTTTCGTGCCTGATGTCTATTTGCTTACCGTAAACCAAAACGCCCTCTGTTTCTTCTGACCTGTACTTTGTCTATTTTGCTCTGACCTTTGATTTATTCTTTGTTAATTGGTCCTTTCTTCTGGGTACTTTGTCTATTTTGCTCTGTCCTTTGTTTGTTTGTATGCTTCTTTGTTTGTTTGTATGCATCTTTGTTTGTTTTTGTGACTGTTGATATTGGCCCGTTTGGCCGCCCATATATTTGCTTACCGTAAACCAAAACGCCCTCTGTTTCTTCTGACCTGTACTTTGTCTATTTTGCTCTGACCTTTGATTTATTCTTTGTTAATTGGTCCTTTCTTCTGGGTACTTTGTCTATTTTGCTCTGTCCTTTGTTTGTTTGTATGCTTCTTTGTTTGTTTGTATGCATCTTTGTTTGTTTTTGTGACTGTTGATATTGGCCCGTTTGGCCGCCCATAGCATAGCGCATGGAAGAAAAAAATGCATCAGCAGCGGACTTCAATATGAATGACCTCAATTGACCTTGTACATACATGTAAATAGTGAATGCATGAACGAATGAATCTCGGCACGTGTGGCGTATGTAATGTTAAAACTAGTTTAGTAGGTAGCCGTTCTTCAGTCAAGTTTTTGATTCTTTCTTCTTGAAATGGAGGGGAAATGGGAGGAGTTACCAGTTCCACTCAGTCGTTGCGTGCAAAAGAGTTTGAGGAAATTGAAATTTGACAGAATGACTCCAGTTCAGGTAAGTGTAGTCCCACTAATTGATTTTCGTGTTTGCTATTGTGAAGTGTTTGTTACATGTTGTTGTGCCACTTGATTGTGCTGTCGAAATGTATGCTTGTTGTGAACTATGACGATTATCATTGTAAATTGACAGCAATATGTACTGTAACTATACTTCTGTATAATCAGAAACGTTTGATAATAGAAAAAAAACAGTATTTTTTTAGTCGGTTGAATATAGAGTCTCGATAATTTCAAATTCAATTAGGGTCTAGACTATTGTGTGGCCAACACCATGTGAAAATTGTATTGAATCTCAACAAACTAACTTCATTTCTTACAAGTTACAAACAGTTCATGTCAGCTTCCATACAAAGCTATTTGAAATGAAGGTGCATGTTCCTTGTGAATTGTGTACATGTTGGAAATCTAACTTGAAACATGAGAGGGCCGAGGGACACAAAAACAAGTGACCAGCAAAATAAAATTAAAAAATAAGGTGATCAGCTTTAGCTATGAGAATTTTATAAGTTTTTACCATCAATTTAAGGTGCTGATTTTGTCTTCTTTTGTTATCAAGTCACATCTAGCATCTTGTCTCATGTACCATACATGTGCATGAATCCTCGTGCACTGCCAATAATAATGTTTGTGTATCTAGACTAGTAATACTAGAGTCTACATTGTAATAGACCCTACGAGCAAAGACAGATTCCGCCCCCAATTTGCCCAAACCAAGTCCGAACCGCTCTTATTGACCTGTAAACAAATACTTTCTTGAGTGGATTGAGATGGAGATCATGGAGGATTGTGATAAAACACCTACATGTATTAAACCTGCCTAAAAATGAAATCAATTCATTAGCGCCTTCATTGAACACTTTTTGACAAATCTATTTCTTTTATTTTTATCAACAGGCAGCAACGATCCCACTTTTTCTGGGGAACAAGGATGTGGCTGCAGAGGCGGTAAGTAGTATTCCCTCTCAATCACGTTACATGAGCTCTGGCGACACGTGCTCCAGCCTCCAGGGTCTATTCCATCAAAATTGTTTTGGTATTCCTAGGAATCACGATGGGATTTAAAGTTAGGTTAAGAGTTAGGGTTAGGTATAATGTTGGTCAAGGTTTGTTGATGTTGAAATGTTGATTTCTTGGCTGCTGGCTTCTTGGGTGCCTTCTTTGGTCAGTGGAAGGAATTAACTTTGTATCAAAATTGATGCTGGAGCATCATCCTTCTCAAGATAATACACCATATTGTATATATGTATTGTCATTTGTAGGTTTTTTATTTGTAATTTTTTGTTTAATATGTAATCGATTGTCATCAGGGCTCAAATTAATTTTTTGTCCACGGGGGCTCTTCCCCCGAAAAAAGAGCCCCCGTGAGCCTTCTCACGGGGGCTCTTTTATTACTGACGGGGGCTCTAAATACAAATATCCATTGAATTGGTACCTATGATACTCCTCAATTATTTGCTATTTCATCATTATCATTTCAATCAGCATTTTCCCTCTTACAAATTTACAAGCTACATAGCTGTTACTGGCCTGTGTATATAATATATACGCATACAACACTGATCTTTATGATATCTTTAACGTGACATATCTTCTTCTCCCCTTGCAAACGAAAAAGAAAACATGGTCATTAAATGGGATTAAGCGACAAATAATGATTGTGATTCAAATTGATGCGAATATTTGTTTGAATAAGCACTATTATTCACCGGAATCATTTTTGTAAAAACAACTTTTACAAATCTCAGCCATGCTTACTGAGTTGAGACGTTCCATTCAATTTAAAATACCCATTACATAATACACTTCTCCTAATCTCAAAGTGATCTTACAGCACAGTGGCAGAATTGGATGGCTGAGATTTGTAAAAGTCGTTTTTACAAAGAAGATTCTGGTAAAAAGCATTGCATATTCAAAAAAATCCTTGCATCAATTTGAATCACAATGATTATTTGTCGCATGGCCCTTTTATTAAATAAACTTGTTTTCTGTTTTGTTTGCAGAGGGAGAAGAAGCTATGTCACGTTAAGAAATCATAAAGATCAGTTGTATTATGCGTATATACATATGATACTAGAACAAATTTTGATTATCAGAATGTCATTTTGGAATACCTCTTTAGCCCGTATTAGTATTAGTATGATCCAATATAAAGCTATTATTCTTTATTTAATTCAGTATAATGCTTTTCCTCAAAAATAGTTTTGCTATTTTTTTAGGATTGAGACGCTAAGATATGGTTTCAAATGTACATTACACGAACCCTGAACCATTGCAAAATGATGGTGGTTCTCTCTCTCTCTCTCTCTCTTTATTTTAATCATGCATTATCAACTACATATAAAGCAGCAACCAAAAACTTAGGGTTATCTGAGATAGGTGAAAGTAAGAGTTAAAAAGAAAGTCATGCTAAAACGGCGCTTCACTTCCCCCCGCCCCCTGAAAAAAATAAAATAGATTAGTAGTCCTCCTCTCCAGAATCCCCCTCCCACCCGCTTTAATATCACATTTTCACTTGGCAGCCCAAGGGGGCCAGGGGGGGGGGGGGGGTGGGAGGAGGGGGTAAAACCCCCTACCCCCCCCCCCCCCCCCCCCCCCCGCCGTAGATCTGCCCATGTTTTCATATCATTCCACGCAGGGGCGGGGATCCGGGCGGGGGGGGGGGGGGGGGACGGGGGGGGGGGGGGGGGTACATGTCCCCCCCCCCCTCAATTTTTTTTAGGGGGGAATCGTCCCCCCTGGAAATTTGAAAAAGTGCAAAACAAATTGTATAGCATATACTGAATAATGACTGCAACACACTTTTAGGCTCTGGAAGGCCCAAGAGTGCAGCGTTTAGACTAATCAAATTGCAAACAAAATCTCGCTCGGTCGCCACGCTCCCTCGCATAACATCCTCGTAAAAAAAAAAATCGCATTTCGTCCCCCCCGGTCATTAACAGAAATCGCCGCCCCTGATTCCACGACATTTTGGTCTTCCTCTTCTCCTCAAAAGGGACTTTTAGATTTGCGTGGACGTGGACGTGGACGTGTTACGTCAATAAGGCACTGGCAATCATATGTGACGTCCTTTTAAGCACTGGCAGTGCCTTAAAAGGAGGTCACACGTTGCAGTCCACGTTCTCATCGTGCAAATCAAAAAGTCCCTAATATTGATTTACTGGTCGAGGTTCATTATTTGCTGACAACGAAAAACTTCTCCAGGCCATGACCATGTTTCTGCCCTTGCCCGATCGCCTCCAGCTCCAGCAGACATGGCGCGGCAGCGTGCACACGCACCGCTACTAACGGCGCAGTAGGCCTATAACCACTGCTGACGGCGGCACTGCACTGCGAGCTGAATCGGTAATAATAGGCCTACTCATAACACGAGAAATCTTGCACGCTAATCTTAGTTCCATTTCATTGGTTTAAGGTCTGAAAATTGAAACTCAATATTGTGTTAAAGTTATAACAGAAAAGATTATCTTTATTTTATAATTCCACCGGGGCGATTTTTAATTTTGCAATCGCCCCCGTGAGCAACCTGACGGGGGCGATTTTGTAGCTCACGGGGGCGAATCGCCCACCGCCCCCGTGTATTTTGAGCGCTGATTGTCATAGTATTCTGTTTGTTATAGCGCTTAGAGACTCGGTTGAAAGCGCTTAATAAGCACTGTTTTATTATTGTTATTATTATTACTATATTGGTTTTCATTTTCCTTTTCATTGATTCTATGCTAGCATAATATTCCTGCAGTATGACTGTGGTGCTTAGATAGCATTTATACCCTTTCCAAAACCATTATGACGAAAATATAAAAATAAAACGGAAATATTTATGGTAGCATGCATGTAGTTAAATGTCACCTACATGATACAGATTTAAGCTTTGATACCGAATATTAACTAATTATTATAGAATAATAAACATAATTGATTGAAAATAGTATTTGGTCTTTTAAAGATCAGAGCTTGATTGAATTGTTGACATATCCAGTATATGTCTTTGGTCAAAGCATCAATTTTTGTAAAGGTGAAGATCAATATTTTATGCAACCTTATAGGTGACTGGCAGTGGAAAGACTTTAGCCTTTGTGATACCTATCATAGAGATACTACAAAGAAGAGAAGAGCCATTGAAGAAAAAGGAGGTTGGTACCTGCCATATTATTTTGTATATTGTTACAAAAGGATGATGTTGAATCAATCAAATATTAATTTGTAATTTTGTGTTACTTATTGAAATCGTCAATATCCTGGAAAATCTCTCAACAAAACTATCAAACAAAGGAGAACATTATGGAAAGTTGTTGTTCAGATCATGCAGCTCTATAAAACTCTGTGTTAATTTTTATACCTGATGTTGCCAAAAATGGCCAAATGTTTAGAGTCATGAAATCTGTTATGTTTAAGTATTCAAATCATAAGTTCATGTAGGTACAAAAAAAAGTAAATTTTCTTGTTATCCTGTTTATAATGCTGATTCACATTTAGAAATGCCATGTTAGTAGGAGCAAATTTTTTGTGTGACAGAGATTAAAAGCAAAATACCTATCATTTAGTCCATATCTTAAAGGTAATACAAAGTTTTGGTATATCGTCATGAATTTGGTTCAAATGAACATATTGGAAGCATATGCGATCCTACAATATTTTGTGATCGTTGTCGCGGTTGAAATGGAGTCTGAAGTGATGAAATTGTAAATAATAAACTCTTTATGTTGTATAGCTCCCTCTCAAGGTCAAGATATTAATTTAGCTATAAAACAATGTTTCTTGACTAAAATCAACCAATTGGCTATTCCTGTTTGGAAATTATATATCACAACTACTTATTCTGTGATTTGCATGGTCGCACCTACCATTGTATGGCCATAGGCGCTATTTGAAATTTATCAAAATTTACCGGGAGCACAGGTAAATGTTTATATTCTCGAAAACAGAAGTGTTTTAGGGGCTAAATTTTCTAGTGCTTATAATACATCTATAGGGGCATCCAAATATATCAATATTGTAAAGAACCACTATCCAGCCAGTTTTCAAAATTTTTCAAAACTTTGTAATACCTTTAATTGCTGCCTTCAACAGTAATAATCAGTATTATAAGTTACATTAATTCTACTTGTTATCACCTATGAAGAGATACTGTACTTTGAGAGAACCATAACAACTTGTTCTTGATTCCATGTAGGTTGGTGCTATAATCATCACACCAACGAGAGAGTTGGCCTACCAGATCAACGAGGTCCTGGAACATTTCACCAGTGGTCTCCTGCCCAACCTGACAAAGCTCCTACTGATAGGGGGCAGCAGTCCTCTCGCTGACCTCGAGAAACTACAAGAGGGGTAAATATCTCTTTGATAACTTACCCAATCAGATGACATATTCTCTGTTGATACTTCTGCCATGGTCGATTTCTTACACTGATTGTATTCCTAACGTCAGCCCTCACTATGAACATGACGGACAAAGAAAGAGGACAAAATATACAGTTCCTCATTCTACCCTCAACAATTGCTGTGGTAGACAAAGGAACATCCCTTCACTGCTATTATGTAAAAATGTGTAGAAAGTTTGTAGAACAGGTGTCACATGCAAATTCACCTGCTCTACACATTTTTACATAATAGCAGTGAAGGGATGTTCCTTTGTCTACCACAGCAATTGTTGAGGGTAGAATGAGGAACTGTATATTTTGTCCTCTTTCTTTGTCCGTCATATTCATAGTGCCTAGATCCAACATTCTACCTAACTTAAATCTAAATAAAACCTAAAATGCAATGTCAGCCTTATCCCTATACTTTTATTTTTTAAGAAAGGGTTAGATGACAATACCTTGGCCTACCCCACTGGTAACCCATGCCGCTTCCATAGAAACTGTTTTGTCGAAAAATCAAGAAAAGGTGAAAATTTAAGAGAGAGAAAACCAGACAAACAAAGACAGAGAGAGAGAAAGAATAGAAAGAAAATGTGGGCAAAGAACAGAGCTGCCAACTAGTACGGATTTTCCGTAATTGGTACGGAAATCAACGGCAATTACGGAAGCACGGAAACCCCTTCAAAAATTACGGATTCCCCGATTTCTGGACATGCCTATGTATTAACACATGCATTATGTATATGCGAGTGTTTTAGCGGTAATGATCGCGATACTTCCCGGGCCTCGGCCCGGTGGTTAACTTTTGAGCGCACGGAAATATCATCCGCGCCTCAGCCACGACCACTGCACACACATGTAGCTACCATCGAAAGATATGCACACCGCCCTGCCTATATGGGCTGCGTGTGCTAGCTTTCAGCATGCAATATATATCGGGGAGACGGCAAACTCGTCCAAGTCCATTTAGCCACCTTGCAAACCAACCCGTACGGTACCATGTCCATGTGTAGTTTTATAGCAGGTCTACAAATTTTTTCCCCTTAGTGATGGGTTCTCATTGTTATGATAATAAAAGTACGACTCGACTAATGATGAAGATGATGATGATGATGATGATGATGATGATGATGATGATAATTGTCATAAGGAAAATGAATGTACTTCCTTGATTAAACTTGAATTTATATTCAACAATTATTGTCATTGTGTTTTATTTCACATTATTTGTTGGATCATGTTTATTCATTTCATTTTATTCATATACCCCTTTTCATTGTTGATAACAAAATATGATACACGAATAAATTTTGAATGAGCTGACACACAAAGTTTTGACCGATACGAAAGCGCATGCATGGTGGATGTGCTGAAACAAGTGGCACGATATTTATCTGGGCGAAATATGCATTGGCCGAGTGTTACACTACCGCATGTGCAGCAGGTCGGCCGTGGTCGCGTCAAACTTCGAGTAACCGACGGAGAAAAATGACTTCAACTTCATCGAAGAAGCGTTCTAAAAAACTGCAAACCTTCTCAGGTGAAATGGTCATGCATTGTTCCGTCGAAAAGGAATACAAACAGTGCCTGTTGTACACATTGCTCATCCGATTTTGGAATTGGTCATGGCGGTTCGAACGATATCCAGGTACATCTGAAGTCGGTGAAGCACCGGACTGCAGCGGCGGAGGCAAGTTCCAATTCCCGCAGTCATGACATCGCCCAGTTTTTCGTCGCAAAGGACAATTCTGTCACGAACGCCGAAGTGAAGTTTACTCAATTTTTGATAGAGCACAACATCGCGTTTTCAGCAGCAGACCACCTTTCACAACTTGTCAAAAATGCCTTCCCTGACAGTAAAATTGCAATTGTAAAAACCTGAAGTGAATATACACACGTAAGTGAAACAGGGTAATGATACATCAATCCTCTAATAACCATTGTTTTTTTTATAGCACTTAAAATGATGTTATAAACAGAATGTTCTTGTTTTTACTTCAAGTCCTGTCATTCAGAGTGATGCTATTACCATGGTACTACTAGTAGTTTGTGTTGTGGTGTTGTGTGCAGCTCTACAATGTACGTGCAAATGCAGTCTTCTTGATGTTGAAAGCGCCGCGCTTGAAATTACTGATTTCCATCCAAAATTACTGATTTTTAGCTTTCAGATTACTGATTTTGGTTTCAGAGGTTGGCAGCTCTGAAAGAAGAATGTGAAGACAAGACGCCCTTCTATATCTTTTTTTTTATTATTTCATTCAAATAGTTCAAGATCAATGTCCCCTCAATGGTTAGGCCAACACCTCACTAGGGGTTAAACACTATGAATATGACAGACAAAGAAAGCGGACAAAATATACATTTCCTCAGGTAGACAAAGGAACATCCCTTCACTGCTATTATGTAAAAAGGTGAATATGCATGTGACACCTGTTCTACACATTTTTACATAATAGCAGTGAAGGGATGTTCCTTTGTCTACCTGAGGAACTGTATATTTTGTCCGCTTTCTTTGTCAGTCATTTCATAGTGAAAGCCATCACTTTATTGGACCTGTGTTATACCAGGGCTTAACCATTGCATTTCTCTTTTGTCCCGTTCCTGTAGAGCCAACATCCTCATCGCCACACCAGGTCGTCTTGAGGACATGTTTGAGAGGCCCACCACAGGGATCAGTCTACCGGCCATGGTCAAGTCTCTGGAAGTCCTTGTCTTGGATGAAGCTGACCGATTGCTGGACATGGGATTCACTAAAAGGTATTCATGCAACTAGATGCTCCCTCAAAAAATTTTCCTTTTCATGGAGAGCAACAACCTTTGAAACTGATACCTGAGGGGTTTTTCCTATTAAATTTATGTTTTAACTATGCAGTGATGATGAGTGATTAGAATTACATTAACCCATTAGCAACTAAAGATTTTGTAAAAATGGCCTATTACTCACTGGAAGATGTTGCAATATTGCTCTCATTTTTACATTTTTTCTGAACAATATGAAACTTGCGCTATTTTTCTATGCAGAATCCTACTGTAGACATCTTAAGGATTTTTATGCACGAATAACATTATAACGGTAGACCCTAGAACGGATACTATAGCGCGTTGAAAACGGACGGAAATGGAGGGGCGGTTTCGGGCGGTTTAGTTGCTATTGGGTTATGTATGATAATCACCAGTGAGCATAGAAATTTTGTCACTATCATTGCCCTGTGGAAAAACTAGAAAGGTATTTGGAATGCATGTACATCTTTTTGCAGTAAATTGCTCGATGGCATTACATAGTTGACATGTATGCAGAAGTTCCCCTCTAACAACTTTCTGCAGTATGATTATGTAAATCATGAATTTGTATGTGAAGGGATCCTGTCAAGTCATGGAGATATATGTCTTGCATATTTAGAAATGAGACATTAATCTACATTTGCCACTTTTGCTACATTTTGCCACCAGGTGTTAAATGGGTACCGGTAGGAATGACTTCCTTCAATGCCATGAGCGCCGAATTCGGCAGCCTAGCAGAGTCGGGTAATACTTGGAGCGCCTTGAGCACCTTGCGTGGTGGATATGTGCGCTATATAAATATCCAATTTTATTATTATTGTTATTAAATGAGGTCCAAGGTCATCTGAGTTCGTAGTTCACTATGTGCGAAGCATGAACTAGTGATCTTCAGATCATTTATTGCTTACTCTCTCTGAATATTTGTATTTCTTATAGCATCAACACAATCTTAGGTTACCTACCCAAACAGAGACGCACCGGGCTGTTTTCTGCAACACAGACGGAGGAAGTCGAAGCTCTAATTAGGGCGGGGCTCAGAAATCCAGTCAGAATCGTTGTCAAAGAAAAGAACAGTTCATCGTCTGTAAGTATATCTCTGTGTATAATTCTATCTTCTTTTCAATATCTTAATTATAATGTATATTTCTGTAGTATTTTGTTGAAACATCATTGCAGACTATGTTTGAAAGGTAAATTCTGTTCTGAATCTAGAGAATATATTAAGACTCCATAAATTTCTGGTTACATTAATATTATCCTACAGTGTAAATAAACTATGAGCAAAGTTATAATGTCAGTCATACTGTCCTCATGATCTTTGATCAACTTTTTTTTGTATGATGATATTAATATGATCTTTCTCATATGTACAAATGTAAATGTAGCATTTTAATTGGAATATTCTGGAATATGATGCATAAATGGAAGAAGAAAAAAATAGTGTTTTTAGACAAATATTAAAGTTTTAAGTGTATAGACAGACAAAAAGTTTCATGATGTACTGGAAATTAATAATATGTTGTGATCAGCAGTTCAAGACACAGGTTTTCTATACATTGTGCACTTAGCATGAATACCGAATAGCGTTATGTAGGTATGACCATATTTTCAATATTTCTGTTTTCTTGGAGAAGTTTGAATTGTTTTGTCTTTTATTTTGTTTCTTGTTTATTTGTCATCTTTTTGTACAGCATGTGAGAAGAACACCTTTAACTCTAACAAACTACTATGTGGTGAGTACATTTCAATTGTATCAACTTTTTTTGCTAATCTTATATTATATGATCAATAGAAATCATATCTTGTTTAAATTTGATTTATAATTACAATTTTTTGTGAGTGTTGTGCAAAGATACAAATGCCGTTATTTTATCCTAAAATATAGGCATTGCTTGAACCTAATTTAAGATGACTTAGATGCTCAAGTTATTTAAATGTAGAACTGTTTCAAATGACATTTTTTAGCGTTACGTTTGTTGTTAGTCTTTTTGTGTATCTGTGTTGCTAATACCTTTTGTCCTTTTTTTTGTCTTTCAACTTTGTGTGTGTGTGTGTGTGTGTGTGTATGTCTCTCTTTCTCTCTTTCTCTCTCTCTCTCTCTCTTTCTCTGTCTGTCTGTCTGTCTGTCTCTCTGTCTCTCTCACACTTTCTGTTTCTATATTTCACAGATAAGCCCCAGTGATGAGAAGTTTAGGCTGATGGTTGCGTTTCTCAGGAAATACAGAGTAAGTAAATGCAGCAGTATTTTACAGACACGCTTGAACTAAACTGAGCAAGGACATAGTTCATGACACGATGTATGGGTCAAAAGACATTTAGAAAGGGAGAGAAAATTTAAACAAATTATTTCATAAGATTTTGGGATAGCATTGACCTTCGATAATACATATATCCAGTGTTGCCTATTTGCTTACGAAACAAATAAAGCGTGAAGTAAAAACTGAGTCATCTAATTCATGATCAGCCTCGACCGGTTTCCATTAAAATTTCAGCCGATGACTAATGTTCCTTTGCAAGAAATTTACACTTCATATCATTACAACTAAGTGTTAAGTGCTACATATTTGTTATTAATTTTACTGTATCAAAAAGCATACAATCTCATCCATGCATAAAGAAAGCTACATGTTTTCCTTACTTTTAATTATTTTGTATTGGTTCTGATTACAATCGAATGATATATAGAGGCATTATGTCTTTTGGCAAGACATTAATCTACATTTGCCACACTCCACCCAGATGAGGTAAATGGATACCCCGTAGGAATAAATTCCTTGAATGCTTGAGCGCCTTTCATGGTAGCTCAGCTCAAGCCAGGGTAATAATATGACTGCAGGACCCTCAGGGATTAATACTGATGAGGCTACCCTGGGTAAACAAGACATATATTACTATTATTATTATTATTATTATTATATAAAAGCATATGTTACGAATATGCAAATGAGATGGTGATCAACATGCTAATTCCAAGATGTGGCTCGAGTTGAGAGCAATAAACGGATCAAAGGTAACCAAATCATCTTGATTGTTCTTTATTTATCGAAATAATTCTGAGTTGTGGAAGGGCCAATATGAGTAGATTGCCCCGACCCAACAGATTGGGGGCTTGTCTCAAGAGCTAGATATAGTAACATATGCTGTTTTGTTACTTTTCCGATCCGAAACGCGTATTGTTTGGAGTTTACCTTTTGTCCCATTCATGGGTTTTGGTGTGGTTCTCGCACACATTTAATGTCTGGAATGTCTGTGCTGTAGTCATGGTAGTGTAGCGTCCATAATGGGGTTAAGCCTACACAGTTTGACTTTGTTTTGTACTGCATGATAGCTCGAGTCTTGTCGATGTAGTCTCATTGGTATGAAATTCACTGCACATCTGCTGTGGTTGTCCGGTATTCTGGTCCTGGTTTTGCTTGTTCTTGCATGGCAGTCGTTGAAGGAGTTAGTCGGATTGACTTTTAACTTTGCCTCGGCTTCGTTTCTACTTCTAGGGTAATGGCCTAGATTAGTTGTTTGCATGCAATCTAGTTTGCTACACATCTGATGTAGTGTGGGACTGTGGGTACTGGACTTTCTGGAAATTATTCCATGTTTCACGTGTGTTTGTGTGATATGAAGACTAGATCTAGATCTATACGTGTAAATGTAAGAGTTGATGGAATCTAACAAAAATTGATTTGAGTTGTGGAGGTGGAGTCTCAATATAACCCTCTGCTGCATGGCTACATGTATATCAATTTCACAGAATTGGTGATAGTTTGATGCTTGATCAAGTTGTTTTGCTTAGTCGGTTGGTCAATTTTTGTTGTTTGATCTGTTTGACTATACTCTGTGTTGATTCACATTCAACATTTTTGTTGGTTTTTTTTTTTCAGTCGTCAGGACGATTGGCCTACTTTGTGAGACTTGTGTAACTTACACAGACTAGATCTATACAATGGCTGACTTTGATATTGAAAAGTTTTTGAGTCAGGACTTGACCATTGGCCGGTTACGTCAGCTACGAAAGGTTGATTTAACAGCTGTAGGAACAAAGCTATTGGTAAATCTAACTGGTCACAAAAGCAAGGCAGAAATAGTTGATGCAATTACAGCCCATGCAGGACTGAGCGCTGCGACGGCCGTGGCACAAGCGGATGCGCCTACATTTAATGATAATGGTGGTACTAATAACCAAGATAAAGCTACCACTGACAAGGTTGACCTTGATTTAGCTAAGATTGAGCTAGAGGAGAGAAGAGATAGAATAAAGGCTGCTGAGCATGAGAGAGAAATGGAACGAAAGAGGTTGGAATTTGAAATGATGCGTCATCATGAAATGACTTCTCAGGGCAGTCAGTCTGGTGAGAGAGACAAGAGGTCGATAGAAGCTGGGTTCTCTGCTAGGGTTAAGCTTGTTCCTAGATATGATGAAAGTGAGTTAGACTCATTCTTTCTTATGTTTGAAAGGGTTGCCAAGAGAATGGAGTGGCCGGAAGATGAATGGGCATTGCTCATCCAACAAGTGATTTCTGGTAAAGCTCAGTCGGTTGTGTCTGCACTGAGTTATGAGCAGGCATTTGATTATTGGACAATGAAGGATGCTATTCTTCATTCATTTGAGTTGATTCCAGAAGCCTACCGTCAGAGGTTTCGCAATCTCAGGAGAGAAACTGGAGAGACTTGTGTAGAGTTTGCTTGGAAAAAAGAAGTTTCCTTCGATCAGTGGATCAGATCTTTGAAAATAGATGCCACATATGATTCTCTTAGAGAGATTATGCTCATTGATGAGCTTAAAAGATGTATGTCTCAAGAGGTTAGGACATATGTCAATGATAATGTAGTTAGTGATGTGAGAAAGGCTGCCATGTTGGCAGATGGGTACGAATTGACACATAAAGGGAGTAGTTCACCACTTACTAGGCGTAGGAATCAATCTAGGTCACCTACGACTCAGAGGAAGTCAGGTAACACCGGCACTAATCAGAGTAGTGGTTTTGGAACTGAAGGCAGACTTCTCTGTGCCTACTGTAAGAAAGAGGGCCACCTTAAGACGCAATGTCCAAGACTAAAAGTAAAAGAAAAAAATCTTGAACAAGAAATTACACAGCCTAGTGGCTTTGTGCGCATAGCAGCAGTCGACATGCAAAAACGTGTAATGAATGATCACAATGAAACAAAAAGAAGTGATCAAGTAAGAGATATTGGACATGATGAGGAGATTGATGAAGGATTTCTAGATTTTGTTTCTTATGGCACAGTTAGGTTCAGTGTTGATGATAAGGAGTTGCCTATCACGATTTTAAGGGATAGTGGTTCTATGAAGACTCTGCTTATTGCTGATGCGTCGTCCTTGGACGCAGAGAATTTCACAGGCAAGAAAGTTTTGATTCAAGATGTGAATGATGGCTTCAAACCGGTTCCATTATATAACATCGAGCTTAGCAGTGGATTAGTTTCTGGACCAGTGACTGTTGGCATTGTGCCTAAGTTGCCTATGAGGGGAATTTCAATGTTGCTCGGCAATGATTTAGCCGGAGGTAAGGTGTTCCCATCACCCGTTGTGTGTGACATTCCTGAGGTGAGTTCAGAGACAGAGGAATTGGAAACTGATATTCCTGGTATTTTTCCTTCATGTGTAGTTACTAGAGCCCAGGCTATGAAAAAGAAAGAAGAAGTAGATGACAATGATGGTGACGTCAATTTGGGTGACACCTTTTCCAGAACGTTGGAGGAGGGTCAAAATGACCAGAGTCATGCTAAGACTATCTTCAGTCAGCCTGCCTTGATTGAGGTTCAGAAAGCAGCAGAGGACTTGAAGAAGTTGAATGATGTTGCTCTACCAGCAGGAGAAGCTAAAAAGGTGTCACAGTGCTACTCCACAAAATGTGGTGTGCTGATGTCAAAACCAGTACTGGATGCTCCAAACTTCCAGAAGCCTTATCAGCTTGCCACTGACGCCAGTGATGTAGGAGTTGGTGCTGTCCTCCTACAGATGGAAGACATGGGTTTCCTGAAACCCATGAGCTACTTTTCCAAGAAGCTCAACCCCCACCAGCGAAGACATTCTACTTTAGAGAAGGAGTGCCTTGGTCTCGTCTTGCCAGTCCAGCACTTCGATGTGTACCTTAGCAACTCTTCAGAGGTGACTGTATCCACAGATCATAATCCATTGACGTTTTTTGAGAGCTTCAGAAACGAAAACCAGAGACTGTTTCGTCGGAGCCCGTTTCTCTAGCCTTATGGACTGAAAGTGACTCATTTCAAAGGAAAGGACAATATAATCGCAAACACGCTTTCTAGAGCTTAAGCAAGCCTACTGAACATTTGACAAATTGTGAAGAAATTAGAACTTTAATATTTTGTTTTTATTCGTCATAAGGAAGCTACACGCGATTTATGGCTTTGTACTTTGTACATGTATTTTGATCAGACAATTTAATAATTTTGAACAGTGATATGAATGATCATGTAGGAACATTTCACCTATTTACAGGGAGACGCCAGTATGGACAGGGGACTATATTCTGTGGAAAATGTGCACCACATGTCATTGTTTTACCTGTGCCTGCATGTATACTGATATCATGTCTTTTTTTTGGAGTGTGTTTGTACCTTATTCAGAAAAGTTTTCTTTTGATCAAAAGAGAACAGTTATTATTCATACCCAGCACTGTTAAGTATGCTATGTAAAGTTTGAGGTATTTATCATTTCATAAGAACAACAGCTGTTATCTTATCAATTTTACAGGTGTAAAACAAATTGAAAGCAAAACAAAAGTGTAGCATCACAAATTACATAATGTTGTTATGCAGTTTTCAAAGAGTATTGACTGCCAGTATTGCAAATGTAGGCTATGTGTTTGTGATTTAATTGATAAGTCGTGCTTATTTGTTTATATTTAAACAACTTTCAATTAATAGCTTGCAGCAGTAACTTAACAGATTATGTTTTTCATGTATGTGTACAAGAAATATGTATGTACCCTTATTCTTACATTTAATGTCAGAAATATTTCAAATCTAGCTGTGCACAGTTATGTGGATCATTATAACATATTGCTTCTGTTCACCGACATAATTAATGAGACACTGCATTCCGACATAGTAATGAGGTGTCGTCATAGAAACGCGTCATGTGACTACGTTGTACGCGTTCATTATATGAATATGCAATCATTTGTTATTGTAGTTGTGCGCATTTAGGATATCGGCGCCTTCGCTGAATATTCAGTGTTTCATTTATCGCGCACGCTTATTACGCTCATGTATTCATGTATTCATATATTCATTATGTGTGATGTGTAGAGACGTGTTTCGGCCACCACAGTTTGTGGTTCTTTATAAAATACAGGCATTTTGTGTGATTAATGTCCTGATATTTACTTCCAGGATTCAGGAAGAAAACATACATGTATAATGTTATCTATCGAATTTGTTTTCATTTTCTGCAGTTTGTGTTTTGTTTTTGAACGTTGAAATGAAAGGACTAATCGGTCTGTCTTCGATATTAGAAAAATGATGTTCATGCCAGCTTGTTATACCTTTTGTGTGGTTAATTTCTCGCCTTTAAATCTTACTATTGTTCAGAAGAAAGTTCTAACTACTGATAGAAACTTTCTTTTATGGGGGGAGATATGTTACGAATATGCAAATGAGATGGTGATCAACATGCTAATTCCAAGATGTGGCTCGAGTTGAGAGCAATAAACGGATCAAAGGTAACCAAATCATCTTGATTGTTCTTTATTTATCGAAATAATTCTGAGTTGTGGAAGGGCCAATATGAGTAGATTGCCCCGACCCAACACATACTACTGCTGCTATTTCAGAATCGATAATGTTTTTCCAGGAGAATAACTTTTATCAGGTCTACTGAAATCTACTGTGTTTTTTAATGAAATGTTAACTATTTTTTTTCAAATAACCAGCATTACAAACATAATTTTTACTGATATTCATTTTCAGGACCAGAAACACATGGTGTTCTTCAGCACATGTGCGTGTGTAGAGTACTTCACATCAGTGCTTCAAGCTCTAGTACGAAACACAACTATCCTCTCACTACACGGCAAGATGAAGCAGAAGAGGAACTCTGTATTCAATCAGTTCAGGGAGCTAACAAGGTAAACAAACTTTTACAAATGGTGACCCCTTTCCCCTTCCACATTCTGTATTATAAGCCATTAGCCATTGGGATTAGGGTTAGGATTAGGTTAAGGGTTTGAAACGGGACCTGGTAACCCTCAACTTAAAGACACATAGAGGTCAGCACCGTTCAGGTGTCTACCCAATAGCAGGTGTTGTCAATCACCATGGTTAGTCTTCAGTTTTTATGACCATTAGACCTTATCTAATGCTTTGCTTTTCCCTCAGCCGAAGACTCTTGAGCTCTCCTCTCGAGCTCTCCAAGAGATTAAGGGGTAATTCTTGACTGGCCTACAGGTTCGCTGTGTGCAGATTTGTACTCCCATTAATGGTATTTCCACCAAGTCTGGTGTCAGCGAATTATGGCCTTCTGCACATGGAAACTGGATGGTTGACTCCCTTTAATTTCTAGTTCCTAATGGTTCATAATGCAGAAGTAATTATGTTATCATTTGGGACTTATGCTAGGTAATTAAACATTATGATGTGTAATTATATTCCCTACACTGGTTAATTAATCATTATTACTTGTCTAAACATGTGTTTCGTAAAGGAAAACTTTATATCAGGAAACATGTAGCAAAGTTAATGTTTTGGTATTATTTCATATGATTATGATATTAACTTTGATGTACTGTTGAAAGTACTACAAAATTGCTATCTTAGTTAATTTTCTACCCTGCATCTTTGACCCAATTGGCAATTTCTATTTTTGTAGCCAGCACAAAAATTCACAAAAATTCACATTTACATTTGATACAACCAATCCAAAAAATATTTGTATTCATCATTCAAATTTATGCTTACCCATGAACCATCTTAAAGTGAACTCATATCTGTTTCCATTTATATCATAAATTTACTGCTCATCCTCAAGATATGTCTTTATTATATGTTTTATTTTATGAGAAACAGTAAGTGTCTTAATAATTAATTTCATTTTTGCATGAAATATATATACAGTAATTTTATCTTCATGTTTCTCAGCCTAATTTTCATTTTTTGCTAACACTACAAATGAAATGTTTCTTTCTCCAGTGGAATTCTGGTGTGCACCGATGTGATGGCTAGAGGGGTAGATATCCCAGAAGTTCATTGGGTTCTTCAGTACGATCCTCCTAGCAGTGCAAGGTAAGATCCAATACAACTCTGAGTTTTTCTTTAAATCTCAATTAAAAAAGCTTTTACAAAAGTCACCAACACATTCTAATAATTTAATATGGTACTAATCTAGTGGATTGTTATAAACGATGTATCTTTTAGTTATTTTGTAAGTAACATAATTTTTTTTTTTTAATGTAGAGCAGTTATTTTCAACGTTGAAACTAAAGATCTAATCATTCCTGTTAATTTCTGAAGTGAAATTCTGGCAACCTGAATCTTAAGCCAGAAGTCAACTCGTTGACCATCTAATGTGGTCGAAGTCTTACGTTCGCCCGGACTACTGTACACTCGACACCTCAAGTATTGGAGTGCACATATGGGAATTGCATGGACTTTACATCATAATTTATGCCATAGATTACACCGTGGTTTACATCCTGGTTAACATCAAAGTTTATGCCATGGTTTATGCCATGGTTAACGCCATAGTTTAACTGGTGACAAAAAAGCTTGGAAGACTGGAGCAGCCCGTGTCCAGTACAGACAATTCTGGTGCAAGCTAGAAACACAAGAAACTGCCCATTTTGAAAATGTTCTGCCCAACTGACTCTGTTGGTCTAGCTGAATCCACCAAACCCCTAGCAGGCCTGCCAACTCATACGATTTTTTGGAAGCTAATACGACAGTACGATTTTCCTCAATAAAATACGATTTTCAACCAAATTTGAAAGGTCATTGTCAACACTGCTCCAAAAATCTTGAAATCAACATGTCACACCTGTAGCACAGGATGTGCATGTAATTCACCTGCAGGGAATTTTAAGTGCCATGAAATGAACAAGAAATCTACATGTGGATCTTCATACCACATTCCAACCTGGCAATCAAAGATTGAAATCTACTTCCAAGCAGGATGAAATTGACAAGCGATGAATTTTAGAGGGCTATGAAATGTACACTGGATGGGTAAACAAGGAGGAATCTAGGTCACAGTTTGATCTGTGTACGGTCTTGAGAATAACAAATTAAAATATCGCAGAATAATCAATGCTGAAAGATGTTTTTTACTGGTTGATTTATATTTTTACTGTGGGTTCAAGAATATAAACGCTGTGGTGTCTGATGAATTATAAAGTTGGTATGTAATGAGTATATTTGATATTACAGATGATGATATCAAAGTAAGAAATACAGAATGAGATTTACCAGCATTAAGAGAAGTATATATTTTTAAAGGTTCTGTGCCAGTAGAACAAACATTGAGCCTATCTGTCAACTACTTGAATACAATAAATAAAATGCAAATTTCATAGAGGATTTGTCTTGAGCTTTGTGTTCAACAGATAGCACTGTAATGTATGTGGTGCTTTAGTAAGTGCTTTCGATCTCTAAAATCCTTATATTTTATGACTATTTTGCATACTTAATCATCAAATCCTTTCCATGTACACTGTCCATCTCTTCCTTCTCTGCAGTGCCTTTGTACATAGATGTGGAAGAACAGCTCGTATCGGTAACTTAGGCAATGCTCTGGTGTTCCTCAGGCCTACAGAGGATTCATACATTGAATTTCTGAAGATAAACCAAAAGGTAAATAATAGTTTTGTTTATCATGACATGGGATGGTATATTGCCTGACATTCAAGGCTCAAATACATGGGGGCGAAGGGCGATTCTCCCCCTTGAGCTACATAATCGCCTCCGTCAGATGGCTCACAGGGGCGATTGCAAAACTAAAAAAATGCCCCCGTGGAATTATAACATAAAGATTATCTTTTCCTTTATGCCTTTCACACAATATTGAGTTTCAACTTTCAAATCTGAAACCAATGAAATGGAAATATGAAAGTTAGATTAGCGTGCAGGATTTTTCACTTGAATTTTTCGGTGAATAGAAGCTGCCATATTGTAAACAAATGTACGCTTATTCACTGCAAGATTGCGCTATATCTCCCATTTCCACATCTCTATGAGTATTACCGATACAAACAACGTAAGCTCGCAGTGCAGTGCGGCCGTCAGCGGTGGTTATACTAGCTGCGCCGGTAGTACGTGTGTGCAAGCCACGCCCCATATCTGCTGGAGGTAAGAGGTGATCGCGCAAGGACCGAAACAAGGAGAAGTGCTTAGTTGTGAAAAGCCTGAATCCTCTGAAATCTGGTCATTCCAAAAGACCAGCAAATAATGAACCTCGACCAGTTAATCAACTGAAAGCTAAAATTAGTAAAAGGAAACCTGTTGGGTTTGGACCAGACATTTCTTACAGAGGGAGGAGATCAGACCATTAGCTGCATGTAACATGTTAAGTTGTAAGAGGGATGGGTAAATGCTGACTTTAATAAATAATAATGATGAAATAGCAAAGAATTTAGGAGTGTCACAGGTACCAATTAAATCAAAATTTAAAATGACGTAGCATAGTTCAGATCAAACTTTTCATCTCTGCGACACACAGATCCATATGAGTGGGGTCACCTCGCTAGTCACAATGACCGCTATTCATAACGTGTAACTTCCTATACGTGAAGGACCCCTATTTATAAAACAGAAAGGGGTTTTCTATTCATAAAGGCATAGGGACCGTGTTCATAAGGACCGCTATTCATAATACGAAATGAGGGTCGCTACTCATGATACGTATACATATAATATTTCTTGTTGTATGAATAGGGACCCTCATCAAACTTTGTTGAGCCAAACCACAAAATGTAGAAAGATTGTCATAAAAGGGTCAATTACCCACTTGATGTGTAAGCCTTCTCATTTAACTGCATCACCTATTTATGAATTGATTTCTACAGGTTCACCTAGAGCTGTATGAGGAGATGGATGATCTTGAAGTGGTGGATGTTATTCCTAAGCTTAGAAAGCTAGCAACCAAAGACAGGTGAGAATGAGCAGTTTGTAATATGTGTGTCTCTGCCAGAAGCAGTGTTTAGGATAGAAGTGATGGTTCTATTGAGGGTGGAATGCTGTATTTCATTCATTTATTTATTAGTTTTTTTTTAAACCGGCTAACTCTCTCAGCATTATAACTGTTTTCATGAGAGGCCCTGTACAAAGTGTAGGTTGCAAATACAGAGGAAATTATACAAAGTTTGAATACATACATATCATATCCTGATTTAATTTTTTTTTGTTTTGTTTTTATACACCATGATAATACACCCCGTAAAAAGTTTGATTTTTTACCAGCTTATACAACAATATCAACCATGTCAGGAAAGCTGAAATTCTTGTTTGGTTTGTTATTACAGAAAAGAACAGACTCTGGGATAAAAAAAACATTGGTACTGCATAGAGCTGTTAAAAAATATTACAAATGTAGTGTTCTCCAGTACAGAATTGCAAGTGACTTTTTTTTATGATGTATGATGGTGATGATCTTAGTGGGTGTTACAATTGCCGAGCAGACCAACATCCCTATATGTCAGTCTCGCAGGCCATCAGAAAACTTATCTGAGGGTTTACAAGACTGACATGTCAGTCTGGTGGGACTCTTGACAACTTTTCTGAGTGTCGACAGGACCAGCGTTGTCAGTGTGTAGAGGGATGTTGTGATAATGGTGATGGTAATGGTGATGATGAGGGATATGGTGGGAGTTAGGATGATGGTCACATGATAGTGACATGAATGCAGTCTATGTTTCAAATAGTGGTGGTTATTTTACCTGACTGCTAAGAAAGCATAAATGCTTGTTAGCAAGCAACCAGTGGACCGACGGCTTTAGGTCCTCTCCAAGGGACCTGGTAATGAGGATTAATGCTTTACCAAAGGGCACTAGCGCATCGACTTGGTTTCGAACCCCGGTCGCCGGATTACGAGACCACTGCTCTACCAACTGAGCTATCAAGAATATTGAGTACAGTTAAAAAAAAATTTAAAAGTCTATCAACACTATTTTCTCTATCAAATCTATTTTGTTTTTCTAGTGTTTCTCAAGATCATTTAAAGGTAAAGACCAGTATTGGAAACGCCCCAATTTCAAAAAATGAAATGGAAGCTCTCATTACCAATCATGTGAAAGAATATGTTTTGACTAATACATGATGATAAAAAATTTGCCGGGAAACTACCTACTAATTCATATATTTGGTAAATTTGTTTCTCTCATGGTCTGTGAGAGATATAGGGTAGTCCCATATACATCTTTCTGTGTATAGTGCTTGTAACTTTACGAAGAATGGGCCAAATTTCTTAACATTTTGATGATTCCAGAACCTTGCAGATGCAAGATGCTAGATGATCAACCTTTTCTGATCGATTCCACAACGTTTCTTTCACAATGCAATCGCATGACCATAACTGGTCTTTACCTTTAATCTAATTATTCTATTATTTATGATGTTTCAGAGCTTTATTTGAGAAAGGAACGAGAGCTTTCGTCTCCTTCATCCAGTCATACGCTAAGCATGAATGTAGTCTCATCTTCAGAGTCAAAGGTATTTATATTTCCATTCAATTTGCTCTTGAAGGTCTTTTGTAACATATGAAATGACATGAAACATCATTCCAAAGTCAGATTTGTTAGGTAATGGAGGAAGCAAATATTATGATAATTTTTGTTTTGAATATAGATTTTTGATAAAATTTCAATCAAGTTATCTATAAACATCTGTCAATTTAACTTAGACATTTATAGTATTGATTGTGGCTATTATTTAAGTTTCATAAAATAATGATAATAATAGATCACATTTATAATGCACCTAATACTTTGTTTCTAGACACAGTATATATTATTACCCCAGTCATTAGATTCAGGCTTACCCGCACACAATGTATGCACATTCTTCACTCCCTGGAGAGCATTAGAATAAGTAGAGTCATGATTTATTTATTTTTATTAGGCAGTCTTTAATGATGTAGTACCAACTTAAGTTTTATACTTGAGAGAATACAATACCTAACAAAATGCTTAAAGGGACTTGGTAACATTGTTAAGATGAAAGATATAGTGGTGCTAAGGTAGTGACTTCAATGCTAAATGTACAATTCAAGATAATCTGAAAATTTGAGTGAAAATGAACCATTTTTTATGGTACAAATAGGGAAAAACTGATCTGATCGATTCCTTAATTCTCATAACTATATTATTACAATTTAATTACATTTTAAGTGAAAAGAAATCTCACAAAGCAATAAAATGGGTCTACATTCCATTTCAGACATTAGAGTGTAGACAGATTTTTTATAGGTGTTTTATGTCTTTTTGTCATGGAAAAACGGTTGGGAAAATTCAAAAATGGTTAGGAGAATTTACTGTTAATCACTGTTAGAGGGTGTCATACATCTACCTTTTCAAAGAAAACCATAGATATCCTCGTGGTTTGAGAATTTTTCAGGATTTTTTTGCAAGTCAGAGGGTTAGTACAGTAGAAGGAATATAGTAAGTAACATTATATAAAAAAATTAAGCAATTTTTTTCATCAACCTTCAACAATGTTACCAAGTCACTTTAAGAAGAACAGATGAAGTTGATGTAAAATTATACCCAGACCTCTACCTTTTACCTTTAATCAGAGCTTGACATGGCAGCGCTTGCCAGAAGTTTTGCCCTCTTACGCCTTCCTCGTATGCCAGAGCTGAAAGGAAAGGACTTTCCAGATTTCATACCAACAGAAGTGGACTACAATGCAATACCCTACAAGTGAGTTATTTTATCTCTAATCTTGATTTCTGGTAATGGAATTGTATGCATTATGAGAAAAATTGGTATAAAGCGATCTTTATTTGTTTTGCGGTAGATGGGTCGGTCGGACCAGAAGAAAATTTGCAGGAAATTACATTCATTCAAAAGCACAACTCACATAGGCATGTGTGCATGGTTATATCATATTTTTTAAGGTTCTTTATTCTAAAGGGTCATTAAGCTTAGGGTTTGTACTTCAAATAGTAAAATAGAACCCAGTATCATTTTCATGATAACAAATCTGCAGAAGAATAAACCTTAGGGAAAAATGCAACAAATTTACCTTATTTCATTTTTTGAATTATGAATAGCCTAAATGCTAAATATATTACCCATTGCGGATGTAGTATCGAAAATAATATCGCTAGTGATATTCGTTTGTCTCGCACAAAACGTCGTGATCTTTTAGATCCCTTGTGGATGACCATACATTGCGAGACAAACGAATATCACTAGCAAGATTATTTTCGATATGAATAGCCTTGTTTCGAAAATTAAATCATGAAACCTTCAGCATTCAGAACTTGGGAAAAAACATACCCTTCAGAAAAATACCCCCCCCCCCCACCCTCCTGTATGCATTACCCCCTAATCTATCTTTGCCATTGTTTGAAATATTATTTGATTTTACAATGAAAAAAAGGCATATAACCGTTTGGATTGCTGTAGAAATTTGTATTTATCAATGCATTTTTGTAATGTTTTTCTTTACAGGGATAAGAACCGAGAGAAACAGAGGAAGCAAAGACTAAAGCTGATTGAAGATGGCGTTATCACAGGCCACAAAAAGCAGAGAAGAGTAAGTGCTACGTCCTGCCATTTAAAATGCTTCAACTGTTTTATTAATGAAGTAATTTTCATTTCTAAATTTTATTTGTAGATTTTTTATACCAATGTGATTAACCCAGTTTGTATGAAACAACAGAAAATGCTATTATACATGCCTATGAATTTTTCAGATAAAGTCAAACCTATCTATAAAGGCCACCTTTCTACTGTGGCCACTATTTGCGTTTCCCTAGGGTGGCCTTTATAGACAGGTTTTACTGTTCAGTCAAATCTGCTTATGAATACCTGTTTACAAAGACCACCTGTCTAAAAACAATTACATTTTGTTTCCCCATGAGTTATTACTCTTCAAGATTTGTATTCCAGGAACCTGTGTAGAAAGACCGCCTGAGCACATAGACCCCTTATCTTGCCCTTCACCTTGGGCCTTTGTATACAGGTTTCTCTGTAAGTATGGTATTGCACAATCTGTGTTTTGTCTTTTCTTTGATCCAGGTTAAAACTGTAGCATGGTCCAAGAACAAAGAGCAGAAAGAGAAGAAAAAGGAAAGGAAGCAGAAAAAAGTAGCTGCCAAGAAGAGGAAACAAGAGGTTAGCAAAAATAATCATAATGATAATATTTAGGTTTAATATAACACTTGATACATACTCAGATTCAGGCTTGTCCATACTCAATGTATGCTCATTCTCCACTCCTTGGGGAGCATTTGAGCCAGGCACCATTTTTAGCTCATCCGGCCTGAAGGGCCCGATGAGCTTATGCCATGGCGTGGCGTCCGTTGTCCGTCCTTCCATCCTTCCGTCCACAGTTTTCAAAATGCTTCTTCTTCGTTATTTTTTATCCGATTTTGATTTTGATTGTTTCATATGATAGGGCTAGGAGGGAGATTTAAAACTTCTTCACAGAATCGTGAAATTCATTATCTATGCTAATTTATGCAAATTTATTCGAAATCACAAAAAATTCCTCCTCTTCTTCATTTCTCAACCGATTTTGATTTGGTTTGCTTTATCTGGTAGAGCTAACTTTGGTACGCTGAAAGTCTACACAGAATTTTGAAATTATTCTCCATTAACTCATAGCCTGCCATGAGGCTGCATGCACGCTACCTATTGAGTGCCATGTGCGTGCAAGGGCGCTTTCGTAATAGCAGTTATTGTTCATGTTCGTTGGGCTGTGCTGTGTGTTTGCACTCGCCATTCATAGAACCATCGCGTTAATCAGATTATCTCCAAAACAACCTGGCACAGTGGGGATTAGCCCTGTGGCACGATAAGAGTTAATTAATTGTGGTAATTTATGCAAACTTATTCCAAAAATAACAAAAATTGCTTCTTCTCCCTCATTTCTTGACCGATTTTGATTTGGTTTGCCTTATCTGGTAGAGCTAAATTTGGAACACTAAACTTCTACACAGAATTTTGAGATTTTGCTCCATTGATTAGTTATGGTAATTTATGCAAATTTATTCCAAAAATAATTTAAAAATCACAAAAAATGCTTTTTCTCCTTCATATTTCTGCCGATTTTGATTTGATTTGCTTTATATCATAGAGCTAACTTTGGTACACTATACCTCTACACAGAATTTAGAAATTTTTCTCCATTAATTAATTATGGTAATTTATGCAAATTTATTCCAGAAATAACAAAAATGCTTCTTCTCCTTCATTTCATTTTTAAATTTTTGTTCCTTTAGTTTCTATTTAATCTTGTACAGCTAAATAAAATTATGTCCCTTCCAGGGCATCAAATTTTTAATTTTTGACCAGTTCAAAAGTGTACCACATAAAATTTACGATATTTGTTGTTGCGAGAGGCGGATGAGCGCTACGTCATTGACGTTCTGGTTTACAGATTCTGAGCAAACTGCAGTGACTTTCAAATTACAAGGTGCTTCTATAACACCTGGGTGGAGAGAAGCAATGTAGTTAAAATGCCTCGCTCAATGACATACATGTCAGGGATTCAACCTATGACCTTTTCATATCAAGTCAAGTGTTTAAACCACTCGACACCTCTAGTATCAAGGCTCAGACGCCGTGTTGTATTCTGGAGCTGTGTTTGGATTTGCTTTTAGGAAAGTAAGGTTTCCTTGTGACAATTTATGTAACATCACTTTTTCTTCACAGGAGTTGCTTTTTCAGAGTTATTATGTTAATGGCTCCTGTTTTAAAGATTTAACCTTGTGTCCCTTTCACTTCTTACTAGTTTGATGAGAGTGAGCTGAATGAACTAGCAGACGATGTCAGGCTTCTGAAGAAACTCAAGAAGGGAAAGGTAAGTTTTATTGGAGAAATGGCTGTGGAATAGACCAGTTCACGGTTGGCACATGCCCCAAATGACTCTGAATATCCACAGATCTTCAAAACATGAAGAGGTCCCACTTTGTACATTTTGAAACAATCACTCCTACGGTGATAAGGGTGCCACATAAATAGCCTTTGTTTCCCCCTTTTCAAAGAATACTTCCACCTGTGTATCATGGAGTGCACTGCTTGTGCATAAATGAATAATGATTACATAACTTTCATGAGCACGTACCCAGTATTTTGTCTCCGTGTATGTCACAATTTGGTGTGTAATGACCTTTATCTACTCATTTTCAGACTGCAACCATGAACTGGCTTATTTATACACATTGTAAACATTGCCATAATACATGTATGTACCCTAGACTCTTTACTAATTGTTACCAATCATATGTTATTGTGTACTTGGAAGAGAGGGGGAAACATGAAAGTTGGCAATTTTTTCAAATTTTATAGTTTTGTAATAAAAGGATCAATAAATATTCACAGATATGTAACAACCTTTCATTGTTTTTCTTTTCATCTATTTTTTAGTGTCAATTGAATGGCAGTTTAAAGAGATTCAATTCTACTTCTAAAGTATTAATGTTTTTATCCTTTATGGCCTTTATTTCCATCCCCACAGATCAGCAAAGAAGACTTTGACACCAATTTTGGAGTCGCCAAAGAGGATACATCAGCACCCGAAAAGGAGAGCGTGGCCGAAAAAACATGACAGTCCCATTCATTTGTTTCTGTGTTGGACATTTATTAGAAGGATGCAGATAACACTGGCATATTCCAGAAGGATTGGACAAATGCTTGTAGATGTGGGACTCTACTACTCTTAGTGCTATCGAGGCATCCTATTCTCACCTACATCACTCATCCAGGCTATTCTCTTTGAGTTTATCATCTTTAAAGGCATCGTTTAACAATTTTAAATCGTGTTATCAGTCTCTGCAATATGGTATAATATTGAAGCCCTAAAAAAAATTGTGCTTCAAAATGATCAAGAAGTGCCTCAAAAAAGTAAAAATCTTTGAGTGACCGTTTTTACCATACCCGTTTTCCCCAATAGACTAGTGTTATGAAAACCGTTTGGCAAATGCAAGATTTGGTTTCAATTACCAATCATAAATATCTTGATAATCAGACAGGAACGGCTTGTAAAGGTCATGGGGTTCCTGACTGACCTAAAGGTTTATAATTATCATTGCAGCATGAGCTAAATCCAGGATTTTGTTTCAGAATCCGAGACAAAGTTATCGGATCCCTTTAACATCGTTGAAGAGGGGGGAGAGAATGAGCCATTCCATTTGTATGCCAGAGCATTCATTGTGGAAAAGAGACAGAGTTGAACCTTCCATGAATTATTCAAAAATAAAAGCATCTAGAAAAAAAAAATGTCTATTTGAAAGTATCAACTTGCTCGATATCGACTCGCAAATTAAGAAAAACATGAAATAGTTTTGGAAACCCTCTAACTTTACTGGCTACATTTATGAAATTATGACAATGTGTGAAGAATTGGTTTTGAGATATATATATATATATATACATTTCAGGAACATTTCGTCTACGTTACAAAATAATGTTAGTCTTCCATAAACCAATTTAACAAATTTTGATTTTGAAGGTTGTCATACGAGGATTATTCCATAAATTTTATTATATTATCAATTGAGTACATTTTGGACATCTTAAAGATGTTCTTGCTTGGGTATATAGTTGTTCGTGAAGTAGGCAATTTGGCGATCACTATAACACTGAGCAAACGGGCAATACGCTCCTGTGCGTACGTTCGTGTGCTGCCCTCTATATACCCATGCATGAGCAACTTTAAAGAGGTCACCTCTATTACAATAAAGTATTTTATTTTACAGCAGACTTGAATTGTTTTAGTTCGTATAGCATTAGCGTGTAGGAAGTTTGAAAGGGTATTTTACGGAAAAGGGGGTCTAGAAAAATTGAGGAGAAATGCGAAGGTAGGAGAAAAGGGACAGGGAGAAAGAGAGAGAGAGTAGGACGAAGAAGAGAGAGAGAAGCAGGATGGATGAATGGATGAATGGAGGAGAGAAGGAGGGAGGGGAAGGGAGGAAGAGAGAAGCAGGAGGGATGAATGGAGGGAAAGAGATAAGTAGGCGGGAGAGATTGTTTTAATAGAAGGAGAGGATATTCCAAGGAAAATTCACACACGATGGCTCAAAATCTTTCGGTTTCAGAATTTTATTTCAATTACAATTGCTGTTACTTGAAGTGAATGTTCAAGTCTTTTTATATACAACATCATCATGAAAAGTACATATTTAACAGCATATTGTCAAGAAACCCCTCAATGATCTAAAAAACATCAAATATTTTCAATAATAAACACATGCACTCTTCATATTGTCATACGGATAACGTTCTAATGATGAGCGACACATGATAGCCAAATAACAAAAATATAAATCAAAACTCCGACCAGCTGAATCTGACAAGGCAATTTGTGTTATTTACATGCACATGGTACAGCTACCTGGTACTCTTAAAAATGTTGAACGTACAACCTTATTAAAACCACAACTAAAAACATTCTCTTGTTTAATCCTAAAAAACCCACACCCAATTACTTGCTACTTGCAATGAACCCCTTCCCCCTATGCAATCTCTAAACATTATGTACATGAAAAGAGGAAAGCTGTGAACGAAAAGGAAGCATTTCATCCTGTTTTGCAAACAAAAGGCGGCCATCAGACCAGGCCCCCATTTCACAAAACTTGTTATAAGTGACAAATTACTATTACTGTTATAAGCTACTAAAATCGTGGCATTTGATTGGTTGGGAGCATATTTGTCATAGAAATTCAGCTTTTTTCACTGATGACAAGTTTTATGAAACCGGGCCCAGATTGACAATGGATGAGTTCAGGGAAGTTAAGAATGGTACCTCAAGAAAATGAAATTTATTGGCTTATATATTTCATTTTCCCCTACAAAAAGCATGGCATTTCCTCTCTCCTTTTGTTCTCTATAGTGTACATGTTTGCCAGGAATGTGTAAAATATTTTCAAATATACACCTATGAAACACAATCGCTTATTTAGGGATGAAACATGTTTTTGTATCTACAAAGGACCGAGTCATTCCAACAGTATACATAAATATCCTAGATTCATCTTTTCAAAAGATCGAGTCGATATTCCAAATTACCACAAAAATCAGAGCAGTATCATCAATTGCAAATCCATTTAAAATACACCTGATTACAAGCATTTGGCAACCCTATGGCCAGGATGTAGATAATGGCCTGACTTAGGGAGTAAAAACATAATCAACACTACCCTAAAAAAGCAAAATTTACACTCGATCTACATAAACCATTGATAACAAGTACACTGGAGCGTACTAAAAGATGTTTAACATTTGAGAATATGAGTTCAGCAAAAAGTAGTAAATATGCAGTGATGAATGTGGAAAGGGTGATATGCTATCCAAGGGAAAATTTGATTATTATGCTACTACTGTGCAGGATACAACTAGAGCGTTGTGATGTGGGGTGAGAATTCTGCTTCTTCTGATGCACTTCTAAAGCACTCCCGTTACAAATTTGGTACCAACTTACAATAATTAAACTTAGGTAACGTGCTAAAGTATGTACCTTCTTTACACAAACATCAGTAAACACAGATGGGTGTATGATTAACAGACGTCTGAAAGAAATATGATTGTCTTTGAAGTAGCTTTATAAAAAGTGTGAATTAATAGAACATGAAAACAAATTAACGTTGATAGTGATAACAATTCTACATCATGCAAAAATCATTAAAACATTATGTATTTCATTGGAGGGCTTCAAAATTTATATTCTACCCATGATCATAAATTAAAATTCAGATATTGAGAAAAATAAATTTATGAAGGACTTAAATAAAATATAAAATACTGCATAAACTTAAAATCCATTAAAACTCAATCACATGGAGTTGGAGCAGAAAGCACTATATATGAAGCAAATGTACACTTTATCTTCTTGGGTCAATAGGATAGAGAAAGTTGAAAGCTACCTCTAAAAGTTTAGGAACAAATGACAAATCGATCGTCCCATAGATTAACAAATTTCAGGATAGGAAGAAAGAGGAGTATATGTCAGTAAGACTCAGTATAATACAAATTTTTCAAACAAGATTGCATGTAGTTAGCTTTTTTATTAAAAAAAAACATGATAGCATATAAACTGATGATTCAAGTACCATTTATCCAAATGCAAGCATCTGACTGCATTATTTACAATAACAGTTGCAATGCAAAGTGTGGTTTTTGGGACTAGAGGCTTCCTGAAATAGTAAATGTTCAGTCAAGTAGCAACTAGGAATCAATACTTTACAAAGGAACTATACAGAACACACTGGAGACAGGATTATACTCTCTGCCATACACAGATGAGGTTCTTGTTTGTAACGGAAACGATAAACTTGCAGTCCGAGCTGATTGCGACGTCGTTGACGATGATCCTGTCTTCCGAGTCAGCGAGGTTCATCAGCTCTTCAGCTCCTTTGGATTTCTTCAGGGATTGTCTCAATTCTGCGATCTCGGCCCTTGCCCTGGCATTATCTGCTTTGGCTTGGGCCTTCTCTGCCTTGGCCTTCTCCGCCTCAGCCCTCTTCTTGGCTTTCTCCTCAAGTTTTTTCTCAGCTTTGACTGCCTTAATCTTAGCCGACTTGGATTTTTTGGCTGCTTCTTGCTTGGCAGCCTCCTGGATCTTTGCTTCCCGCCTTGCCCTGGCGGTCTGGGCTGCGGATGAGGTTGCTGCTGCTCTGGGTGACGAATCTCTTTGCTGCTTTTCAGAGTCTTTATCTCCGGAAGATACTCTAGGAGATGCTCCCGGAGATGCAACTTTCTTAGGTCTTCCTCTTCCCCGTGGAGTACCTGGTGTTGCTTCTCGTTCTGCTTTCGCTTGCTTAGCTGCTTCTTCTTTGGCTTGCTTAGCTGCTTCTTCTGTTGCATTGAGGACCTTCTTAGGACGTCCTCTCCCCCTTTTCTGTGGTGTTGTTACCTCCACTTCATCCCCCACCTTCTCTTCTCCTTCCTCCATCTTAGCATCTTTGTCTTCTGATGTTGCCTCTACGATCTCTGCTTCTTCCACCTTCTCTTGTTCGGTCTCAGCTGCTTTTGAACTCTCTGCGACCACCTCCTCCTCCTTGGCCTTTTCCTCCTCCACCTCTACTTCACTGACTGCCATCGGAGCAACCTCTACTACTTCCATGGCAGCTTCTGCCACCTCCTTCTGTCCATCCTCCACGGGTATCTCCATTGGTTTCTCCTCCTCTTTTGGCTCCTCAGCCGATTCCTGCACAGCAGCAACAACTTCCTCTTTACCGTCATCACCCACAACCTGAGAAACCACTTCCTCCAAGACTTGTGCCACTGCACTCTCCGCTGTGGATTGTTCTTGAGCCATCTCTTCAGCTGGTTTGGCTTCAACCTCCTCCTCCTGTTGTTTAATGGCCTCAGGGTCCTCCTCTTGTTGCTTGATGCCTGCTTCTGCTTCCTGTTGCTTGAGGATTGCTTCTGCTTCCTGATCTGATATTTCCTTGATCTTTGTGTCCTCCTCCTCCTCTTCAATCTCTTGCTCGTTGTTTTCAGGCCAAGGAAGAAGCTGCATAGAGTTGGACAAAAATGCAAGGATAATTATAATGACTTATTAAGAACATTCAAATCACATCATTACGATAATGTCAAATTGCATTAACATGAGGGTCCTTGCCATAAAAATGGCTCGAATTTAACAGGAGTGTAGCCTTTACCGTGGCCTGACTCGGGGCCAATCGGGTATAATACGACTACCGACGCGAAACCGAAGTGTGAGGAAAATTTTGGTCTGTTTCGCGAACACTGACCATGTAGAGATTAAGTCGCTGACTACCGTTAATCAAGTCCATTCGTTTACGTGCAGTTGTCCAAATGAAGATATAGATGGCATTAACCAATATTTGCCAAGCTACACTCCCTTTAAATCATGTAAGTTGCCAAAGTTTCTGGTTTTACAGCAGGGTCGATGTTGTGAATTCCTTAGTCTTTAATACCAAACTTTACTCCTGAGCTATCGTCCACAAAGCATGTGTCACAGAAACCTTTTACTTGGGATCATTTGGTTAAGGTTTCATTTAACTCACCTGACTTGGTTTGACTGGCTTCCTATTCTTTGAATGGACTTTCTTGCTGACATCGTAAACCCAGACCTCTCCTTGATCATCACCACTCACCAACACTCCACATCCTGCAAAGATACAACGACAACAGACATGTTACCCTCATAATCATACCATATGTTTATACTCTGTTACACTTTACAATATTATATTCATAACATTTCTTCTTTATTTATCGTCGTTTTCATGTTTTTTACATTATTTACATGTATTCAACTGTACTTACTAAGTCTGTAAATATTTTATATACATTGTTTTTATTGTGCAGGACTATAAGTGTTAGCAGTTGAAAATAAAATTGAAAATAGCAACGCAGGAAAAATGGTTTTGCATACCTGGCCATGTGCCAATGTCGAGGTAGACGCTGTCTGAGTCGCACCATTCTAACGTGTAATGAGGATCAATGGTCACCTCTTTGCTTCCTGGTACCTGGCGCTTACGAGACTTGGACAGACTCCATACGTGAATGGCACCATCACACGCCACTTTGCTTGCTGTGAATGAATACACAAATGACAGAGATTAAAGTAGTCACCCAAAGAAATTTCACGATAATTGATTATTATGGAAGAATTATATATGGATGGAAAGACTTTCTCTTGAAAAACATTTTAAACAAGTCTGAATTTTCTTTTTCATCAATCTTTCAAATTGAAAAATTAATTTTAACAGAAAACCACACAGTACACAAGATTCATGGATGCCTATTCGTTGTTACAAGAAGGCAAATGACAAGGCTTTTGGTTAAGTGTCCAGACACACATTCCCCAATCATGTTTTATTCTCAATTAAACATTAATTCTTCAATCAATATATATTTTCTTCTATGTCTATGAAATTCGAATGGGATTGTGAAATGGGATCATAGCCATATCAGATGCAGAGATGCCAACCCTATAGGATGGCTGTCAGTAATATTTACCATATTTGTCCGTAACAAATGGGGGTCCTTCCGTAACGCAAGACACCGCAGCATAATTTTCGCGCAAAACGTACACAAACACCCAATCACTCTTACTGCATTTCAAACCTACCATTTTTAAGTCCAAAATAAAGATATGCATAAAAACGTTTTTAAAAATCTGTTTCCAGTCAAAGAATCTCCTCCTCGGGTACTCGCTCTTTTTAATGAATCCATGATAATATTCAGGAAGAAAACACCTCGTTCAAGCGTCGAATGGCAAATTCGAATTGACAGTCAAATAGCAGAACTCGTATCCTACACACGCACATGTACACTCACCGGTACCACAGACACACCAGCCCAGGCCGCTAGGCCCGGCGTTCATGAACAACAACACACCGTATACCGCACTTGCAATGCGCCCGCTGAATCACCAAAGTCTTCGCTACTATACTTTGAATGGGTGGCTTAACTGCAGCAGGCGCCGCGCGCACGATCATCTACCACCATGCTCCCCCCAAAAGGCACGACCGCACCTAGCATACCAGTATCAAAACAGTAATAACGGCGGCCGTGTTGTTTCAGAATTAAACAAGATGGCGGCGGACGGACCATGTGCGCGAAAGTGCCTATCCAGTGTAGTCAAATTCAGTGAACTTGTATAGGTAAATGCGTGCGACATGCAGCGCTGTGTACGGAGGCTATGTGATAAGGCGGCATTTGCTAGAATGTACTTTTATTTATAGTTTCCCCGTAACCTTTTGATTGTTTACCGTAACGCCGTAACAAGAGCATTAAAACCGTAACAAATACGGCGAAACCGTAACGGTTGGCATCTCTGCAGATGTATCAGGAGTTGACTAGAATTTGACCTTAAAGGTAAAGATCAGTTATGGTCATGCGATTGCATTGTGAAAGAAATGTGGAATCGATCTAGCATACAAGTATTGGTGTATACTGCTAGGTTCTGGAATCATCAAAATGATAAGAAATTTTGCCCAGTCTTGGTAAAGTTACAAGCACTGTACACAGAAAGATGTATAAGGGACTACGCGTCACCTGCGCGATATCTATCCGTTCCTGATAGATATAATAATTTACACAAATATCTCAATTAGTAGGCGGTTTTTCAGCAAAATTTGTATGAGCACGTATTAGTTAAAACATATTCTTTCACATGATTGGTAATAAGAGCTTCCATTTCATTTTTTTGAGAGGGGGGCATTTCCAAAACGGGTCTTTATCTTTAAAACTATTCTCTCCTAATACTCACCAATAAGATCGTTTTTGAGAAGTGCAAGTCCATCAATCATGTCTCCTTCCTTCTCTCCACTGTCTTCTATTACCTCTTCCTCATCCCCCATCAGCCTTGCCTTACTTGGCAACAGGAACTCTACACTGTGGGTCCTGAAATAGGAGCATCAAGAGATATAGATGCTAGTAAGTGTTTACAGATCTTGTTATTAGACGTGCAGGCGTGGGGTGGATCACAAATTTCTTTAATTGGTGGGAGGGGTTCAAGTTACTTGTTACTCGGTATGAGACTATGAGTATTTCAGAGTTGGCTGATTTTGTTTGGCCAAGTGAAACAACACAATGGAGATAATTTGGCTCATATCATGGCTTGCATAATATTCTATTCTTTTAAAATTTGAAATTTCATGACAATTATAATCGATACTTCTATAGTCATATTCCAATATTACTTCAGTGCTAATACCCGTGCAAAGGATGTGTCTATATGTATATATTTTATAGAGATGTATGCAATACATCAAGAGGTCCACTAAAGCAAAGCTGTAAACAAAAAAACAAAAACCAGAGGCACATCACAAACTAATGAAATCTATATATTCAGGATAATGCATTAATGCTCTTATTGCTCTTCACAAACAAAATCAATAGAGATAACAGATTTTTTATTCTGTATCAAACTAAACCAAAGCTAGGTACTTACTTTTCTGTTTTGGCGATGGGTCCCTTGACATCTAGATCCCACCCATAACATCCATTGTCACAGCCAGCCATCAGGAAGTTAGACTTGGGACAGATCACTAACCCAAGACATCTACCAGGTGCTTCCAATGTGAATAGTTTCCTGGATAGAAGAGTGTACAAAGAAAACTGGTTATGATAAAAACATGATTTTTCTATTGAAGTTGACTTTTTATGCTGGTCATTTCAAATACATATAAAAATACAAACGGTAGAAATAATTTACACAAAATCAAAGAAAATGTAGAGTCCGATACATAGATATATGAATACTAGTCCACTACAATCAAATAAGTTAATGTATACATGTATTTTAAGAAATAATGATAGCAAAAGGTAGTTTCCTAGTAGTGTCATCTTTAACAAGAAAGGAAAAGAAGAAATACAACAGACTACCTAAATGGAAACATCAGCTAAACCATTGAACTTTATCATTGAACTTTTACAGTTTCATGAAGTCATATAAAAAAGGATGAATTATTTCATTTAACCCTATTTAGCCCGGGCTATTTTGAAACTGCATAGACCGGGGGGGGCTTCTAGGCCCCCCCCCCCCCTATGATCTAGGCCGTGAAACGCCCGATCGCCGCGAAAATTTGCATACATGTCAAGTGAAGTGTATAGAATACTATGGTAATTTCAAATTTTTGAAAAATTCACTCATTTGCATATTTATGGTAATTTATGCAAATAAGGTCATAAAATTCACATTTTTGCCCATAAATCAGACATTATTCTTATTTAAGCATTCTTTCTCACTACATATATTTTTAGACCATTTGGATTAATAATACAACACAAAAAATTGAAAAACCAGGGTTATTCCTTATGTTATCTATTGTTTTGATAATTTCTTATGTATTTCTTTGTTTTTTTAACATATGTATTTTATTGTTTTTGTTGTTTTATTTCATTTCCAACTATAATTCAACTATTTTGACCCAAAAATAAACACCTAAACTATAAACAAGACCAAATAACCAATGTTTTATCTCTTTATTTGAAAAATGAGATTTCCATATGTTTTGTACACAAATCACAAAAATGAGCGATTTTCGGGCTGACATGCAAAGACAAAAGGACACGTGACTTCGTAATGGTAGGTCCGATTTTCGAAAAATTTCTTTCAAAAGATGCGCAAGACTCGAAAGAAAAAAGTCACAAAATTTCAGTGCAAGATATTCGTGCGTTAAAAAATTATCGCGAAAAATGTCGAGGGGGGGCTTCTAAACCCCCCCGGCTAAATAGGGTTAAGTCTCAATTTCAGCCTGCAAACTTGAACAGAGATTGGTATTAAAAGCTTAAATTATCATCAATTATCACATTTGTTACATCACTTCACCCAATTGATGCTTTTAACAGATAAGCACACTGAGCTCTTATTCTAACTTACTTGTGTCTGGTTTTGAGGTCCGGTCCATGTGGAACACCAATGTCAATGACAGTGATGTCTTCTGAACCACCTGAAGGGAGAATCATACAAGGGCAGCATGAGATACATGTTGATGAAGGCATTCAGTACAACATAAAATACAAACACTTAACAACATATAATTATTCATCCCTCTTGTAGATTATATGTTTGTTTTTTTCTGTAACTCAATAATGAAAGGTGGACTGGTTGAATACTTTCAGATGTAAGTTTTTATATGTCACATTCTCAAGAAAAATAAATTGAGACAATTAAATTGCTCACATACTTACAAAAATTACAAAACTTGGTATGGGTACGACAAATTTAGTTAACAGTAAATAATTCCTCATCATAGGGGAAAACAACAGATATATAAACAGGAATGAGAATGAATTGAGAAACTGACATATGAAAGCAAGAAGTAGAGAAAAAAGTTGGCAAGGAGTACAAAAAAGTAAGATATTTTTTTTGTGCATGTGGATGAAGACATTTATTTCAAGCACCCATTCGCTTTCAGTTTACCAAATGTGGTATGCATGATTTTATCAAAACATATGTAACGAAGATTCCAAACAAATTGAAAAATATAAATAATAATTAATAATTACAGTGCTTATATAGCGCCTAACACTTACTTTGTCCGAAGTCTCTAAGCGCTCTACAATAATGCAGCATAATTACCCTGGCTTTAGCAGTGCAATGTGTGTTTTCATCCAATGCACTTGAGCACAAAATGAAGAAAACATAAACTGAAAACATGATATCAGAGAAATATTTACAAACTTGTGTTCCAAAGCTACCATATGGCTACTATCAAATCAGAAACTTATGTGAATCAGCAACAATGGCCTCACCACAAGAACAAACAATTAAAAATGGCACAATCCACAGATGTATTTCAATCACATTGCAACATGAAAGTTTAGCAGAGTTTGCAAAAAATGTCATGGACAGACAAAAAATGTCTGGTTTTCCAGGTTAATTTGAGAGAAACCTTGCAGTTTTCAAAATAATTATAGAGTTTAACTTACAGAAGAGCCATGTGGGTCTCTTTGGATGGAAGAGCAAGCAGTTGACTGGTTTTGCTTTGGCTATTTTGATCTCAGCATAGCAGAGTAGCTGGGTGGTGTGGAGTAGCTTGATGGAACCACGCACACCCCCTGCAGCCAGGACTGTGGTGGGTCTGCGGTGCAAGTCGGTGATGACGCTCAGCTTGGTCCAAGCAATGCAGTAGAACTCCTGCGATTTCAGAGAATGGCAGTTAAAGGCTTTGTTTAACAATGTTTCCAGCTTTACAAATATGAGATGCATGGCTCTACGTGTTATCAGTGTCTGTGATATGGTGTAATACTGAAGCCCTAAAAAGATATGCACTTCAAAATGATCATGAAGTGCCTCAAAAAAGTAAAAATCTTTGAGTGACCGGTGTTACCATACTCATTTTCCTCAATAGATTGTAGTGCTATAAAAACTGTTAAGAAAACAAAGTATGAAATTTTGATTTCCAATCATAAATATCTTGATAATCAGATGGGCGATCGGCTTGTATAAGTCATGCGATTCCATACTGAACTAAAGGTTTATAATTATGATTGCAGCATGAGCTATATCCAGGATTTTGTTTCAGAATCTGAGGCAATGTTACAGAGTCACTTTAAGGCATGGAGACAGGGAAAAAAGCAATGAATTTAATACACATCACATACTATAGAAATCACCTATCTATAAAGACCCTTTCCCCCTGGATTAATGCTTAACGTTGAACCAGAATAAAAGGAACCTGCCTACAAAGACCACTTTCCTATTGTCCACCTTTCATGTACAGATTTGACTATGATAGCGCCATGTTAAGATGCCAAGATGCAGGAGATTGTAAGAACGATTTCTGAGTACATCCTTGCCAATTTCAAAATACTGGCATTTCCTGCAGAAAACAAAGTCTCTAATATCAAGTTTATTTTAATCAAAGCAAAAATTAGATAAAGTGATCAATGAAAGTTAGGAAAAATTCCATATTATATTAGAAAATTATTATATTGCTATGTTTTTGACTAATCAAACACAAACTGACAAATAAGGAAAATAATAATGCATAAGATGCCTACCTCTTTCTCTCTTGTGTGTTGATATTTCTTGAGTACCTTGCCAGAGTTACAGTCAATGACACAAACCTGGTTACTGCCACATGTTGCAACAGTCCATTTACTTGCACCTGTGAAAATAATAAATAACTCCAATATAATAGCTCTCCATATTCATATAACAAATAGCTCTTTATTTTCATTTACGTAACATAATATTTTGTTTAATATTTATTTATACATCATTTATTTATTCATACATATATATTTTTTTAAAACAGTGTTATGACCAAATGACCTTTGAAAACTTACTCTCAAAATCTAATCAGTTCTGACATATTTCAGGCAGGTTTTTTTGTTTTAAATTGAGTTTTCAAGTTATGGTTACAAGTAGAGGGACTGACGGACAGACAGACAGCCGGAAAACCTAATGTCTCCAGAACCATCTTTGGTAGTGGAGGCATAAATAAACTAGATGGAACTTTGACTGCAAAATGATGCCTCTGCCATAGAGCCATTTAAAAAACTTGAACAGAATCAATTTTTAAAATTCAAGTTTGATTGTAATCGATCAACAGGTTCTCAGAATATCGTGATTACACATTATTTTTCATATACATGTATGACCCTTTGATCTTCGACCTCATGACCCTAAAATCTAATCAGTTCATTAGCTCTGCAAGATACATACATGTTTGGAGGTTTTAATTTGCTTTAGTGCAATACTGAAAGGGAAATTATTATTTATTCCTTTATATTTGTATTCTACGCTCATTCAGCTTTTCATCGATATAAAGATGTATTTTCATTTGACAGTGTCTTTACAGCAAGCTTACCTTCTATTTCAGGGTTTGGTTCGAATGCACATTTCCATACGTTGGTCTTACAGTCCGTCGGGTCATTGTCTACAGAATGACATCTCAAGAGATGGACAGGCTCATACGCAATACCACATTCCTGTGTTCAGCAAATACAAAGTAGAAAGGGACATTCACACAACTTAAATTAATTTCAGAGCAGAACTGTCATAACTCCTAATCTGGATACCAACAAAAATATATCAGCTCAATCATCAATGCATGTAATCTCATGGTTTATCTATTTATTTATTATTTCATACTATAATCCATGTACTTTTTTTACTGTGCAAAGAGTTTCTTCATTGTCATGGTGACTAAATCGATATATACAGAGATATAAGTACCAATATTTCGGGATAAATGACATTCATTGATGATTATTATTCTAAAAGGTTAACTTCTATTAAAGCAGGCTGAAATTGCCAAAGGAAGACCCTTTTCTCACCTGGTTAGAACCTTGGCTCTCCATTTCTTCATCCACCTCATCCACCACCTCTTCTGCTTTGATCTCCGGCTTGGGTTCCTCTTCCATACCTTCAACCACCCCAGTGTCTTGCATCTTCTGAGCTTCTATCATCTTCCGCTTGGCCGACGTCTTGGGGACCTTGCCCTTGGGGGAGACACCGGCCTGTACTGCTTTGGCCTTCTTCTGGGCGGGTTCCTGTACACCGCTAGCTTGAGCTGTGAAGAATATTAAAGGCATTGTTAATAGCAATGATCCAGTTTTTCAAATCTGAGATGCATGGCCCTACGTGTTTTGTGATATGGCGTAATATTGAAGCACTACAAAAATGATCATGAAAGGCCTCAAAAGTTTTACCATACTCATTTTCCCCAATAGACTGCAGTGTTATAAAACTATTAGGAAAACAAATTCTGAAATTTCTAATTCCAGTCATAGATATCTTGATAATCAGACAGGTGATTGGCTTGTAAAAGTCATGGGGTTTCTGACTGACCTAAAGGTTTTATAATAATGATAGCAGCATGAGCTAAATCTAGGATTTTGTTTAGAATCCGAGGCAAAGATACCCTATTCCCCCCAAGACAAATGCACTACCACTACATCTCCTATATGCCTCTGCTCTAAATTCAGTATAGTATACTGTACCTACCTTCCATGTAAAGCTCGATAAAACCAATTGTGTGAGAGCGCTATATAAATGAATGTATCATTATTAAATGGATGGAATTAATCGTGACACATCACAATAAAGTCATAGTCTTTCTCTAGTGGCTCTAGAGATTTTGCAATAAAAGGCTGGAATTTCATAAGTTGACCTCTGTGACCTTTGACCTAAATACTCAGCTACGCCATTCGGCTGCATGAAGCAAACAAAGCAAACAATATCGATGACAAACTTACCTTGCAGTTGTCTCTTCTCAACTGATTTAGCAAGTGCGGCTGCATTGCCGTTGCTCATGTGTGCTCTGTGTGCCGAGGCTCCAGCCTCGTTCCTGACCACGATCTGTACCTTGGATATGGGTGTGCCCGGCTCGGCGATCTTACGTAGATGAGCAGTCATCTGCCGTACACACTTCTCGGCTAATACGGTAAGCTGGCGGGGTGGGAGGGGGGAGGAAACAAATCACAAAGCATTTACAAAAAAATGATATCATAATTTATCAAATGTATAATTTTTAGCTGCAAGTCGACAATTGTTTAAAGAACAAACTAATGTCATGTGTCATATATTTGCTTTCTCCCATGCTCTATGTGTGCATATGGGGGGGGGGGCGAAACAAATGGCAAATCAACTACAATAATTTAATCAAAATTTATCAAATGGCTCCTTTCTAGCTGCCAATCAATAGTTGGGATTATAGGATCACATTCTGCCATTTGCTTGCAACCAGTACAATTCATAATGCACATAGGAAGTATGAAGAAGGTGAAATATATGACACAAGACATTTGTTTATCAATGTTCAAACTTAAAGTGCATTTTCTCAGAAATTGTGAACAGCAAATCCTCAATGAACTTAATAAGGTACTGAATCACTCATCACCCCATCAAACAATGTTTGATCTCAGCGCACATCTTAGAGCGCATGTCCATCAAGGAAATCAACATTTCTGTTGACAGTTTCATGTACATTGCAAGAGTGTCAACATTGGGATAATTTCACATCAACTGTTTACAAAGAAAATTGGAGCAGACGATGGTACTAGCGCCACACCGGTTATTGTCCTTACCATGTGATGTGTGAAGTCTGTAAGGGCGTCTGGTCCAAACTGTACTTGAGTCTTGAGAAGTTCAATGAATTGCTGCTCAAGCATCTGAATCTCTGCCTTGCTCATAGGATCTTTCAAAAGAGGAGCACAGCTCTCTGCCCACAAGATATGTACCTGTCAAAAGATAATGGTAGGGGAATTTACTAGAAAACATTTAGATTGATGGTACCCCATCTCCACCCCTTCTATACCAAGCTCTAAACTTATTAAATGCAAGTTGAATTACACATCATAAAAGTGAACCTAATCACATACGATTTTCTTGTTTTGAAATATATTCTACTCAATGTTTGTAACAGCTCAAAATGTTGAAAATATTAGAGATTAGATTTGATGAATTGTTCACAATATTTAGTTATACAAACTCAGTGATTCGCCTCTGCAATATTTATTATAAGATACATGTAATTGTTAAAAAACACTAATAGAAGAAATTAATTTCTACACAAACCCAGCCAGGTGTTCAAAATTTCCAACATCTACACAAAAACATTATCACTAATTTATTCATACATCCACTCATTTATTATAAAAACTTATCAGTGTGTTCATGAAAAAATACTCAGATTTTTCTGATTTTCTGACAGTAGACACACATTTTAAACATCTTCAGTCAACACAGAATCTCTTCTGTAATACATGAACTTTTCTTTATTACACTGCAATCAAGGATATCCCTATAAATCATGGGGACACATCCACAATCAATCAGCTACAAAGATTAGCAAGGTGAACAAGGCACATCCTGCTTTAAAGAGGACAATAAAAAAAAAAAGGCACCTCTTCCATTCCAAAGGACCTGATGATATACACACATTGAATTTATAGGGATTTCAATGTGTTCAATAGAGTGCAGAAGTGTCACTGAATCCAGTGGCCAGGGATTATAAAGTCACAAAGGCCATTTTCCATTTTTTTTTTCTCACACAGAGATCTCACATCTCACATACACACCTTACATCAACAATGGCAAACTTCTATATGAACTCAATGCAAGGATAACAAGAAATCTGAAATCCAGAAGTGCTGGAATACAAAAGATTACCCTTTCTAGGTGTATTCACACGCCCCAAGACCCCCCCCCCCCCTCCCAAAATAAACACACCACATATATCACAACAAACAAACACAAGAACACACATTTTGAGTGCATCAAAACACAAGAAACACAGACTAGAGATCATGGATACGTACCTGTTCTTGGAGGGTTTCTTCCATATTCAGGATTGTTTCTCTGAGATCTACCTCTTTCCCGTTCAACACCTTCAACTTGGGAAGCATGTAGACAGCAATGTATTGGTCAGCAACCTAGAAAAAACAAAACAGAAAACAATTTGTTACATTAAGTTAAAAATTCATGAAACTGCTTACCGGGTATATATTTCTATTCATTCAATAGAAGTGCTTATATCACACACTTCCTGCATCTCAGTATACAGTCAGACCTGCTTTCGCGACCACCTGTATAATATATATATATAAAGACAACTTTTTATGTTCCACTAGAACAGTCTTTATATACAAGTTTCACTGTATCATTAAAGACTTAGTATTAGCCATAACAAATACAGAAATTTCTCCAAAGTTGAACATCAAAATCATTGAAAAGAAAAAATAATGGAAAAACAGAGAATATCCAGATATATTTAGAAATGTAAGAGTACATACTTAAGGAAACTATAAGTATATACAACCATAGAATGGATTTCTCCAGATCACATTTTTAAAAATCTAAACAAATATTTTGTAGTTCCTTTTGTACTTACAGACTTGTTAATTCAATTACTCGTTATTCCTAAGTATCATTTGAGGTGTTCACACTTGTACAAGCGTTGCTTTTTAGTGGACCCCTCTGTTTCCAACATGTATTTCTACATTTGTTGTAAATGTTTTGTTGGAAACATAAATAAATTAAAATTGAAAATTGAATTGAATTGAATTAGTATACTCACCGTGAGTTCATTGTTCTCAATGTGAAGCTCCTCTACATTAGGGAACTGCTCCAGAGTCTGCACAGACTTGAGGAGGTTGGTGTTGCAGTTGAGTTTCTTGAGATGGCGTAATCCGAGTGAGAGAGGGAAACCGGTCAGACGGTTGTTGGTCAAGTTCAGGTCTACCAGGCTGCTCATACGAGAGAACACAGCAGGGTCAAGGGTCGAAATGCGCCTGTTGGACAGGTCAAGGTTCACAATGTCCTGGGAAAGGGGAGTATGAAAATTAGTGTTAGATAAACAAAAATACTACTACTGGAAAGAACTTTAACAAAGTGGACTTTTCAGTCACATGTGAGCATTGAAGAAAAAATTAAAATAAAATTTAAAACAAATTAATTTTGAGGCATGCCATTTTTTATGATTTTAAACCACTACTGAAAGTCATCACAGCTTAATGCAATTCAAATTTCAGGGGGGTGTTTCACAAAGATCCTAAGTCAAACTTAACTCTTAGTTGGACTTAAGAATAATGGAGAGCCATTTGTAGCCTTAAAATAAAATTCAAGTATTTTAGACTTTTCATAAATTCCACCATCAAGAACATGAAATCTCCTTGATAATATAAAATCTGAATGATTTGAATAAACATTTTATGCCTTTTAAAATAACTTTTACGAAATATTTTCAAAGATGCTAAAGGCTTTCCATAATTGTTGAGTTCAACTTGGAGATAAGTTCAACTTACGATCTTTGTGAAACACCCCCCTGGGCATACAAAGTATACAGGTATTTACTCAGCTATTTGTACAGTGATGTTCTAAACTTCTGATCCAAAAGTAGTAGAGAAACATGTAGTTATCATCATTTCTAATGCATTCTTTTTTGCTCATGAAACAGGAGTGGTTTGCAGTTCTAAGAAACAATATTTACCTGTAGAGTTGAGTGGCCACTGCAATTAAGCATCATCTTCTCCACGATGGTACTACTGGAGAAGATCTTGGTAGGGATGGGAATTGGGGCGTTGGGATCTGGACACGGGAACACCCGGCTGGTCCCGGTCATCCGACTCCCTACAACATCATAAATAACAATCACAATCAAGTTACAATTATATCCAAGGAAAATTTACGAGGACAATTTCCAAAATTGATTTTTATAACTGTCTATGTACAATATTGTTTTTATTATGCACATTTGATCATCCATTGATATTGACAACACAAAGATTTAAATCATGACAGTGCTTTGAAGAAAAAAAGGGTAAAATGATTGCACAGCTACGAACTAATTAATGAGCTCAGATATTCCTATTTCTTAACGTACAGAGGCCTAATTTGGGCACATTCCTTTGGAATTCCCAGAAGCAAATTCTTGTTGACCTCTTCTATATATTTTTAAATCTTCACTGAAAGTCTGGACCCTGCTTCAGAAAAAGAATTTGGTGCTAGTTTAGAATCATATCCCCAGACCCATAATTCCGGCATGGAGATACCCTACTAAAAATATTTTTGCATCACCAGTACATCACCAGGAACCCCAAAACCTGCAGAGCGCCAAAGCAAAACGTACGCAAAAATGTGGAAGATCCTTTTTTTTGAGGATGCATTTTGTCTGGCATACGAGGATATCCTCATTCATGCGGAAGATCCTCATTCCCGGACCAGCGCCCCTACTGATATCTGGATTTGATTCCGAACTAGCGCCAACAATTTTTCCACATTGAGTTTATGTGACTGCCCTTTCATATTAAAAAAACCATTGAATTTTTCATTTTCAATTCCAAATTTTATTTTAAAAATAATGAAAATATGTTTAATAATATGTGGGATTCAATTGTCAGATATCACATTCACCTTTTTTTTCCAGGGTCTATAGACCTATGATTATGAATTTAAAATGGCGATGTAAACTGTAAGAATAATATTAACATTCGCCCCATCAAAACTGGCATTCGTCTCAACACGAACAGGCACAGCTGCCCAATTCCCAGTCATTCACTCACTTGATCATACACACTCTCCACTCACATTGCACTGCAGCCCACTCGAGCATCGAGCACTCAGCAGAGATCGAGAGGACGCGGAGTCCCTCCACGACTCACGCACACAAATTAATAAAAATAAATAAGATCAGCGTCAATAAAACCTAAATTACATATCAATCCGGAAGCACTGAGCTAAAACATAGATATCAAAGAAACCATAAACATATTATTTTTTCAATAAGATGTATCTCACCTTTATACGACATCTTGAAAGTAGCGAAATCTGACTCTAATTTTGGGTTGATTTTGTGTCGACGGCGTCTTTTCCTCACAGTGTTGCTCACAAAAGGATGTATGGGTGGCGAACATTGGTGGCGCTATATAAAATTAGATTTTTCTCAAACGTTTTGATAATTACATACATAATCTTTCTTTAATGTAATCTTTTATGTGAAATAAAATGTATACAATTTTATTTTAGAATATGTAAAAAAAAATTAAATATCTTTGAAATATCAAAATCTTATGAAAATATGCTTTTTAAATAATATAATCTTTTTCAAGTTGTCAAAAGGTTTGTAAATATAGACTATGCAACGCTATCTGCTGCCACCATTCGGTTTTACGAGAATAGGTAATAAAAATGAGTGGGAATGATGAGCCTTTTCAAAATTGGTTTTACTATAGCGTGTAATGCAGTGGGAAAATAATAAGCATAATTATGTTGTGATGAATCTTCATAAATTTTGTTTGTTCCTGTGCACAAATGGAAAAAGAAAGTATAGAGATGCATGAAACATATCTCATAATTTTTATTAATAGGCCTTCTCTAATCTTAATTCATTGAAAGTTCTGAAATAATAGCTTTATATCATTTGGTTGAACTTTCGACAGTCATGGAATTTTGGATGCAAAAGAAATCAAAGCAATGTCAATAAGACGAAAAGGAAACATAGATTATTCGGAGATGAACCCATCGGGTGAGCAATTGTCTAGCTAGTCACTCTTACTAGCGTGAAGAAAATCATATGAATCATCATAGATTTACGTCATCAGATTTTTATTTTAGGGACAACCAGCTTCGCGCAACCTTCCAATATGTTGTCGACCTGGCTCGACATGAAAAGGTTCAGTTCATTACCGAATAAACAAGTAGACCCTTCTAAGAACATGTAGTGTCGGAGACACTTTCCCTTCTCTGGACATAATCGACATCAGCAGCCACTGAATCGACGATATCACCCCCCCCCCCCCCCTTGCCCCTGAAAAATATGATTTAAGCGCCCTCTTTTGTCACTTATAATTTATTTTATGTTTCGAGATTACTCCATGAGCACTGAAAGACGGTCCCTGGGAGAAGGTATGAAGACCCTGGAATGAATCCAAACATAAAGGGGCATGCGAGATTTATACTTGTTGATATTTGGTAGAGAACAAATTTCAATTTCAATTATTTTTTGTCTTCGATGTTTATTATGAACTTTTAAAAACAAACAGTATAACAATAGTTCCTATTTTGTCTGAAGAATAAATGAACATCATTACGCCCTCTGTCGCACCACGGTAGAAAGACTGTGAGGTGGACATTGCCAAAAGTGTAACAAAAAACATTATATTTCAATATAATTATAGTAAAGACAAGGATATTCCTAAACTGCTATCTTAACGTTCAAATGCTTTTCATATTAAATTGTAAATACCATATTCATATACCTGACGGGAGCCCAAATGTTGGTAGTTTCGATTTCTCAGGTAGGCTGCAGCAACCGGCATGACGGCATTTTAAGTTGTTAGTTTCTTTCGGGTTTCTTGTCTTTCTATTTGTCTGTCTATCTATAACTATCTATCTATTTATATATCTACCTTTTTTTTCTATTTTTTTGTCCGTCTGTCTTTCCGTCAATCCATCTTCTATTTATTTATTTATTTATTTATCCATCCATTCATCTTCCTCATCGAATCTATCCATCTATCTATCAGTCAATCTTTCGTCTATCCATCTATCTATTTTTTCTCTCTCTCATTCTTTCTCTCTCTGTCTTCTCTCTCTCTCTCTCTCTCTCTCTCTTTCTCTCTCTTACCTGTAACCAGATCTTTCTCCCATAATTTGAATCTTGAAGCTCCCTCTCGATCATGAAGCCCGTATTCAGTGATTTATTTCCGTAATTATACCATGGTACAATATGACATAAAATATAACGAATAAATAATGTAGACATGTATTTTAAAATCTCTTTATTAGTTCCATCACAAAATCAAACAAATATCATGATGTCACATAAAGAATCAATAATTAAAGGCACAATGATACATTCATACAAGCGGTCAATGAACGATATGGAAATTGTTCGGTTTTATAATGAAAGACAAATAACACACAAGTCATGGACATCATTATGCTTCATAAAGGTTAACATTACATAAATACATGCTTCGTTTTGTCATATTATGTATACATTATTTACAATGATACTATCTGTTTCAGCAAAGCAGAACATGAGGAATAAACCAAAACTTACAGGAAAAGAATACTTTATATAGGGGCTTTGTCTTTGTCAGTATGAGAAGTAAATGAGCACACAACGATATACAAGCGCATGATGTTGCATAACAAGAAACTTATCAATTCATGTAATAAAGCCAACTCTGTTATCCTTTTATAATACACTGCACGGGCATATCGCTGTCAAATTGTAATCTTGTTTTTGGTGTAGAATAAATTATATACAACGCAATGATCATTTTTTTTTATAATGCCCCGGAAATACTTCGAATTTTACAACATCACTCCCTGGAGACTTAGTTTCTATAATACAGTTTAAACGTCTAATTATCTATGTACACATTCTTGGCCTTCGTGATTAATGATGGTTATCATTCGTAAACGATTCTGGTGTGGTTTGTACAGGAAGGTCACTGCATTTGTCTTACTTACACCAATTCTTACAGGTGAAATGTCTGTCGTGTGAATTTTAGTCCACTACATACTTTGCCAATGTCCCTCCTCTTCCTTTTTTGTCTCTCCCTTGCTCCCTCCCTCTTTCTCTCTCTCTCTCTCTCTCTCTCTCTCTCTCCCTGTACTTAAGAATGCGGCATATACGGAACCCATAATATCGAGAAAAAAATTATTAAAATGCAACTGACTTAATGTGTGCTAAATAATCAAGCAGATCACTTGCTGACTTCTTCAACTGTCTTTTGCAGTGTGCGAATTACAGTTAGATTTGTCAATTGGAACTTGTAACTTTAATGTCCTGCGGTCCTAAAAAACAAAACGTGAAATGGTAAACAAATCATTCTACACTTCTCTAAAAAACCTTAGTGGACACATTTTGCCGGTCGTGTGAGGCAAGTAATCGTTTTGAATCACAATTCACAGTAATGCATTAACTGCAAGCGCCATGAATCATGTCGTTGTCATGGCACTGTAACTTTGCTTTTCGTTTTCCAAATATCCGCCTAGAAGATCCGAAATTCTCAAGGGTTACGCGAAATGGTGAAATTCTTTAGAAGATGCTAAAATGATATTCAATTTACTAATTAAAAGATCATGTCACGCTTTTTTTACTACTACGAATGTCTTCTCGTGTTCCTAAACTCAATAAACTCCGCACCAGAAAAGACGATTAAAATGCATTGCTATTAGTAGATATTTTTAAAAAGTTTATGATAGGCTATAACATATTGATGCAGAGGAGAGGACATTGGATTTCAATTCTTTTAGCAGTCATATACTTGGGATCAATTCAAATCCATATATAGCGGAATCCACTCCAAAATATAGTAGAATCCACTCCAAAATATAGTGGAATCCACTCCAAAATATAGTGGAATCCACTCCAAAATATAGCGAAATCTACTCCAATGTAGTGGTTCGAATGACTCTTTTTGGAATGGATTCTACTCTCATTTTTTAGTTAGTATTGACTTTCGTTCCAAAATGAAGTGATCTCGAATATGTATCCTAAAAGAGAGGGTTTCCACTTTAAATTGAAGTCATCCCTCGCCAAAAATAGAAGTTTGATAATAAACAAAATGCCGTCATCCCTATAAATACACCCCTAAAAGAGTGGATTTCCATGTCACTCGTGTACACTTAGTGAGTGATAGTCCGTCAGTCAGTGATCATGCGCTGCCCTGTATCTGGTCGTTTGTTAGACGGGAGATGAGAACGGGTTCTTCGTGGACGAGTATGGGATGGGCATCGCTCTTCTCCCAGAAGATGGGGGCCTCGATGAAGACGGCGATCGTTCCGACAACGGCGACTAACAGGAAGACCCAAAGAAGAATACGGTCGATGACTAAGGCCACGAACTTCCAGTCTTCCTCCGACTAAAAGATAGAGAAATCAATGATTGTATGTTAACTTATTTTGATTCTTTGTACGTTTGTAAAATGTGAGCAAATCAAATTTTCCAATATTGGACAATAAATTGAAATTGAATTTAATTTAATTGAATTGAATTGAAACTTAGCTAAAGGGAAGGTTGATCCACTATAATCTGAAGGGAGGGTGGGGGAAGAGATCACAGATCTTGGATGAACCCCGCCGTCCCTCTCTTTGGTCTGACGGTAGGGTAAGGAGAGGAAAATCAGATTATTGCCCCGGAAATCCTACTGACCCTCTTCAGTCTCTAAAGGGGGAAGGGGGGGGGGTTGCATTTAAAAAAAAAAGTTTTCAGGAAAAACAAAATTCCTCTCAATCTTACCTGGTCGACGTCATCTTCATAATTGATGTTGTCTTTGATATACTGAAGGGATGCTAGGAGAGCCTTCCATTCCCTCTCACGAGTTCTCGAGCTCCCTTCGTCTGAATCGTCGGAGTCCGCTCTGAATCGTCGCATCGTGTTGTGCTCGACTTCGCGCCCTTCGATTTCTTCCCGCAGTGATGGCGTGATCGTTCGGAGCTGCATTAGAATAATGATTATAATAAAAATAGCATGCAATGAAATATTCAGTTTCCTGTGCTTGAATAATTTGAATGTTATCAATTGATAGATTGGAACTCTGGTTAAATACTACCAAACTTCGCTGTTTTAAGATCATGCAGCTCGATGGAGAGAGAGAGAATGGGGAAGACGAAACTAGAACGAGAAAAGGGGAGCGAATGTAGAAAGAGAGAGAAAGAGGCGAGAAAGAGAGATAATATTTAATAGAGACAACGAGAGAGAGAGAGAGAGAGAGAGAGAGAGAGTGTGTAAAAGAGAGAGAGAGGGAGAGAGAGAGAGAGAGAGAGGGGGGAGAGGGAAAGGGGTGGTAAATACGAGAAACTATTTATTTGTAGTAGGTCTACGGAAGAAAAAAAGTGAGGGGGAGAGATAGAGAAAGATAGATGATAGGATGTGGGTGCAGAAAAGATTGATAATAATGTAATATTCATGGGTATAGGATGGGGGGGGGGGGGAGGTTAAGCGACGGAGAGTAGAAGAAAAGGAAGAAAAGAAACCGGCTGATAGGGATATTACCTCAAGTTTATTGTAGGGTCTTCCATTATACATCCTGTAGTTGCCATTCTGACTGTAGTTCCCCGATCTTTCTTCCCACACCCCTGACGATGAGGAGGGCGAGTACATGTACGGATTGTTGTACTTCCTGATGGCTTCCTTCTGCAGCTTCTTCTTCATCTTCTTCTCCTTCCTCGCCTTCAGTCCATCGGGTCTCTCCATGCAGAAAGCCCGTGGTAAATAGTTCAAGAACCACGTCTTCATCCATGGTGGCATCTCGTGGGTGGTGATACTGCGGAAGTGGACGTTGATGGTGACGACGGTGGCCAGGATGGACAGGGACACCATGGCCATGGTGAAGAGCATGTACCGACCGATGAGGGGTATGGTCTTTGAAGTTGGCGGGATGAGGTTAGGGATCAAGAGAAGGAACACGATGAGAGCCAGGAGAACGGAGATGGAGAGGGTGATCTTTTCCTGAGCGTCGGAGGGGAGGTAGAAAACCAGCGCGGTCATCAACGAGATCAGCACACAGGGGATCACCAGGGTAATGATATAAAACAACGGATTCCGATGCAGAACTAACGTGTAGGTAACATCGATGTAGATCTCCACGCAGCAGGGGTACTTGAGGGCGGACCTGACGGCGGGTGCGTCGACGATCTCCCACTCGCCGTTCGCTCGGTAGTTCTCTCGCTCGACGTTGGAATTCAACGCGATCAGGTCGACGACGTCACCGGCGTAAGTCCAGGATCCGAATTTCATGATGCAACGCTGCTCGTCGAAGGGGAAGTACTCAATGTCAATGCTGCAGGAGCTGCGGAAAATAGCGGGAGGTTTCCAAGTGACTGAGCCATCGTAGAAAATCGTGGCACTGTTCATCACCTCCACAGCATATGCTCCTTCAGCTCTGCAAGAAGATACAAGAAGTATTAAAATTATTACATGATTTTTCGCTTCTTTAATTCATACTGCTTCATTCTCATTATATAAGGCTGCTTTTTAATTAGAAGGTGCAACATTTTGAGGGTTTTGTAAGTCTGGACACAGAAAACAAAAAACACATAAACTGATGTCTACACATTCTATGGAAGGGCAATGGTGCATCCAGAAACTAGGGGGGGGGGGTTTACACACAGAAAAATACCAAAAGGGGGGTTTAACCCCCCCCCCCCCCCCCCCCCCCCCCCCCTGTGTACGCGCCTGCAGCGAAGATAATTACCTGCACACTGGGGCATAGTGGAAGGACACTACTAATAAAAAATTCTTCTTTCAAGTCGATTTGTCTTTTTTTTCTGGGACTTCAATCGTAGGGGCGTTCGCCGGCTCCGATCTATGTTGGTTACAGTCAGACTTTTGACGATTTTGACGAAGGACGGTTTTCGGAGAGTTATAACATTTTTTTTTATTTTTTTTTTTTTTATTTATTTATTTATTTATTTATTTATTTTATTTTATTTTTTATTTTTTTTTTTTTTTGGGGGGGGGGGTTAAATCGGCAGGGGGCGTTACGGTTGTGTCCGCTGACTTCGCCGAGTTTAGTTAGATACGCCACAGGAGACGATGGGTTGTCTTTGGTTGGACAGAGTAACTTACGTGTTATAGAGAACCAAGTCTGGTGCCCATAATCGTTGGATTGGGAAATGGATATAGGTAATGCCACCATAGTCCTCGGGTTTCCATACGAGTCTGTAATCCGTCCATTGCTGTACGAAAACATGGTAATATAAATAATGGTAACAGCATCATCAACATTATCAACAACAATAACAGTAATGTTAATGTAATAATAATTATAATACTATAATAACGATAATGTTCATACTAATACTACTACTACTACTACTACTACTACTACTACTACTACTACTACTACAACTACTACTACTACTACTACTACAACTACTACTACTACTACTATACTGCTACTATTACTACTACAACTACTACTACTACTACAACAACTACTACTACTACTACTACTATACTACTACTATACTACTACTACTACTACTACTACTACTACTACAACAACTACTACTACTACTACTACTATACTACTACTACTACTACTACTACAACAACTACTACTACTACTACTACTATACTACTACTACTACTACTACTACTACTACTACTACTACTACTACTACAACTACTACTACTACTACTACTACTACTACTACTACAACAACTACTACTACTACTATAATATTACTACTACTACTACTACTACTACTACTACTACTACTACTACTACTACAACTACAACAACAACAACTACTACTACTACTACAACTAATAATACTAATAATACAAATAATAATGATGATGATGATAATATAATAATAAAAATAATAATGATAATAATAATAATAATAACAACAACAACAATTGGTTTATTTTCAACGGAAAATGGGGCCATTTTACTTTATATGTGCTGCAAGGAGATGTATATTAATAAAAGATGGGGGGGGGGTCAAAGAAAGGTACCTATAAACAATTGATAAATTGCCAGGATCACAGCGTAATTCGTCAAAGGAGCTGAATACGGGAAATGTAGTAAATCAATATTTATAGTGTGTTGACATAAAAAGTGTTTATAATACCGCTATTCGGGCCTAATGAAATGGGCTAGAAAGCGACGTGAAATTGTGATCTATTTCCGATGATATACGTCTCGCGAAAATTAAAGATGACGTCGAGTACTGGTGAAATAATTGTAATGTGAAAGAATGGGTCTTTAGTTAATTCTAAATTTCTTGTTTTTTGAATTATGTATTGTAATATTTTGGAATTTTCAACATAACAAAGACTTTACTAATTGTTGCTGAAAGTCACAAATAACTGACATGCAAATACTGATACACTGGGCTACCTCAAGAAGTGGCTCAAGAATATCTAGATCAGTTTTTTTTTCATGGGATATTGCTATTATGACAGGTATGATATTATTCAATATGGTAATAAAGAGAATGAGAAATATCAAAATTATTCCTCACGTTCACAAGAACTCCACCTTCTCTTTAAATCAAATTCTTACTCTTCTTTACATAAAGGTCCAAAATGGCAAAGTAATTATTATATGCATGCGTATAGATTTTAACAAGGACTTTTGATTTACTTACCTGTTTAAGCCAGATACTAGTGACCATGATTTGGTTCTTTTCATCCTGTAAAAATAATGAATAATAAACATAGTAGCAACACAAACATACTAAAAATTCAAATCTTAGGTATGATTACACCCAGTGGCGTACGCATGATTTTTTCAAGGGGGGGGGGGGGTTAAAATCGGGCCCAAAATTTCGCAACGACTCAGCCAGCCGCTGAATAAGCGGGGGGGGGGGGGGGGGGGTTCCAAAAAATACACACATAAAAAAAATACCAAAGGGAGGGTTAACCCCCTAAACACCCCCCCCCCCCCCCCTGCGTACGCGCCTGATTACACCTTACAAATGATAAAATGGAAGATTATATGCAACCAGGGGCGATGATTATATTTCTGTCCTAAAACGTAAAAACCGGTATCTAAAGAATGAATACAAGACTGCCGAAAGTAAGTTCTGAATTTGGTGACTGGAAATCTATGATCTGATGGTTTTAGGCAAATTTCTAGCCAGCAAAAGAGGATACATTACATCTGAATTTGACAACACCGTTCCTCATCCTATACCGAAGCTCCCAAAACTAAATCAAATCTTATGAACAAAAATAAAAATCGATACTCAGACTACGGCATTGCAAGACAAGAGTAACTGTTTTAAAATTTTAAAAAATCCCATAAAAAAAAAGAGATAATACCACCCAAATGATAACATTCGACACCCCATCCACCCCCCCCCCCTTTATTGAGCGACACTCCTGTGTTTGTGATGTCAAACACAGATGACGAAAGTTAACACCCTTCTGGCTTTCATAAGAGGAATACAATCCCATACTCACGATGTCGACAAGTTGTGATAGGGCTAGGCCGATAAATACATCCAGGATATCGGAGTCGTTAGCTACTGGCCGAATCAGAGGGTTGTATTTTGTCATCAGTTTCTCAAACAGTGCTTCGGCAGATTCAGAGCACTGGGTCCCTGTAGATATAAACACAAAATAATGAGAAAGGTGTGAGAATGGTAACTTCGGTTATGATATGAATATATATTTTCCCCACTCAGGCGAATACATTTGTTTTTTTCTATGATATGATCTGAGCAGGGGAGCTATACAAGGCGGTGTAAATGTTTGAATAATGAACTGATTATCACTTCTAACTTAATAGACAAATAAATAAATGGCGCAATTATGAACAAATTATTAGTAAACAAATGAGATGGTGTAGAGAGAGAAAGAAGTAGAAGAAGAAGAAGAAGAAGAAGAAGAAGAAGAAGAAGAAGAAGAAGAAGAAGGAGAAGAGGAAGAAGAAGAAGAAGAAGAAGAAGAAGAAGAAGAAGGACGACGAGGAGGAGGAAACTAAGGAGGGGGGTATGAAGAAGAAGAAGAAGAAGAAGAAGAAGAAGAAGAAGAAGAAGAAGAAGGACGACGAGGAGGAGGAAACTAAGGAGGGGGGATATGAAGAAGAAGAAAAAGAAGAAGAAGAAGAAGAAGGTGATGATGATTATAATAATAATGAAGATAATGATAAAGTTACAGCCCGTGGTATAGACTTATTGACAACTTATCTAGAGTATACGAAACCGACAATGTAGGTCACGTAGGCTGTCGGTCTATGTACAGTGATGTCCCGATGCAAGCTTGTCACAGCTATATCTGACATATTAATGACATCACACACATGATCTGAATCGTACAGTCGTAATCTAGTTTTCTTCATGCTTATCTAACCAGCAAAGTAGTACTCCGTGTAATCCGATCAGTGAGTACTTTGACTCGGTTGCACTTACAGATTAGCCTATGTCTAAGAATAGGATAAGATCCTAAACATAGAGAAGATAATGAGAACGGGGGGGGGGGGGGTGGGGTGGACTGGTCTTACTATTTGTAAAAATCCAGCTATTGATACTCACTATTATCATAATTAAAGGAGAAAAGGGCCTTTAGTAAGCCATTTTGACAAGTAGTCATTTTCATGTCGATACTAGAGACAAAAACAACAGTAGGTTGTGGAAATGAATTTGGATTTGTTACCATTTTCTAAGGGCATACCTATTGAAATATAGTCTACAATGGAAATATATCAACAATTTTTTTTTCAATTTCAGGAATAGACATTTAAAAACATTTTCATGCCGTTTTACAACCGCTTCTACCAATTAACTTATTCCACCAAATATCATCATCTGTCTATTTTTCATTAATCATAAAGTCGGAATGGCACTTGTTAATGATGCGTTGTTGTTTTTCTGGGAAAGTGCTGGTCCGGTGATTATGTGGATAATGTCATTTATCTGCAAATCGAACGCGTGGCCGCATCATGAGGCCGCCATCCTTGTCAAGCATCGCTTATGATTGCGGTCTCCTGCACTTTTTCCACAGATAGTTCGGATAATACTTTAAATTTATAACAATATGTTATAGAAATATATTTATTTTCGTCATTATAATTATGTGAATATGTATATCTAAACAAAATCTTGACATGAAATTATTATTGTTTGTATATGTTGTATTATACCTTATGTTTGTTATTTGTTATTCAGTTATTGAGTTTGGAAAAATGCAGAAATAGAATTTAAATAATTAATCGAATCGTCATTCCATATGAACCATGCTTATCGTTACCAAGGCAACTCCATTAAACTTGCTGTATAAACCATGAATAATTTCATTCACTCGCGATAGCCTTCGTTTCCTCACAACTGTAATTAATTACAGTGAGGAGATGTGGATTACCGTTACATTATGGGTACATGGGGCGCTTACCTAGTCACCCCCAATAATCAACTATCTACCGAACCCTCACAAAACAAAATACAATGTACATTTAAAGGCAGCAGAGTGAATAACATGAGGACATTTTAAAAACATTTCTTCAAAATGATGACAAAGATTAAAGGCCCACTGCACTACTTGTAGCTACTTGCGCCCTCTATATAACAAACAATGCCTAATCGGTGACCATTGGTCCCCCATGATCCTCTTTTTCTTATGTTAACTGAGAGCTGAGTTGATGAGATAGCCACCTGTCCAGTGACCTTGCAGGGCGGTGTAATCCCTCCTGTATCCTATGGCAGATAAGCTTTAAAACAGGTAAAAATTTAAGATATAAATTAATATTATTTATAAGCTTCGCAAGCTCGCCTACTCAATATGCTCTCAAAGGTGGACAATATTGCATACACGGTCAGTACAGTCATATTCGCTGGTTGATTTTATGACCCCTAATATGGTTACGTCATCATAATTGTTTAGCTACACTACCAATTATGATAAACAGTCGGGAATATTATTGTCTTTTAGAAAATCGATATCGATCTTTCATTATAATCTTTGATTAAAAGGCAAAGAGGTCATCGACGTTCGATGTATACTTTTTGACCCGTGTGTCATATTGACTAATAACAGTGGTATAACGACGGTAAGTTGATTAAAGCACGCCATTTCCAAGTATACTGTAAAAGCCTAATGGCTATTGATGCTTCGAACTTCAAATTTCGGAGATTGCGATTGCCATGCTCTTTTCGGTTAATAATTGTTGAAGGTGATTCCTCATAATAGGCCTATCTAAAGTTAGATTATCCCTTTAGGCTAATATGTTCACTCATATCGGGTATATACACCGGGTATGGTGCCTCAATGGTTAGAGCGTCCGCCTCATAAACGGGAGGTCGTGGGTTCGATCCCCGGCCGAGTCATACCAAAGACTTATAACAATGGGACCTTCTGCCTTCTAGCTAGGCGCTCAGCATATTAGATTGGAGAAGGGTAATAGTAACATGTTATGTTATGCAGGGCCCGCTGGGAGAGCAGTTTTATAACTGAAGTGGCTACCCTGGGTAAATAAAACGTTATTATTAATATTATTATATCCATTACATGGGACGTTCAATGCAGGAGTATAAATTCGTTTTGCCCTGGCTTTAGCTGTTAAGGTATCCAGAAACGCTAGAATCATTGAAGGAAAAAAATTGTCTCAGGCACTCGCTTAATTCACCTGGGTATAGAGTTGTAAATATATATTAATGATTTCCAAAGGACAGTGGAGTCATGGCAGGTTAGATTCGAGCCTAGACCAGTTCGACAAAATCACCATAATTATAAATGACATGGATATGTGTATAGCCCTAGTGTAAGACAGATATGCTACGTCAGTGTTTCTGTATAGTGTACACAGTAAAAACGCTGTTTAAAAAAGTGATGTTCACTTACAGTTGTACACTATCTTAAACAACGGTTGATCAAATTGTAAACAATGTTGCTCGAAACAGAAGTAATTTTGTTAAACATTCGTTGTTTAAAATTTAATGACTGCTATATTTACTATACGAGAGCTTTTAGACAGTGTTGTTTACATATGACGTCATGTGTCTCGTGCCAGTTAAGTGCGTGTTGGCTAAAGGCTTTATTTCACATTGTTATGTTTAGAAACAGGTTCCTTGAAACTAACATGCAATTGAAATTGACATGCCACTTAGAAATGCAGTGCAGCTGTTAAGGCACAGCTCATTGTTATTCATATTAGATGCATACACACAATGCAAGTGTATGCAAGGGTCTTTTGCTGACTACACAGATTGATACATATGTAAAAGCACATGGACATTGAGTCTGGATTAAACTACCAAAGCAACCACACGTGTTTCTGCAGGCTCCATTTTGTTTGTCTCTATACTTACATTTATTTAGCTTAATAGTTATTACTTTCCAACCCACAACACAACATCATGGCCGACCAAGCTACCGACGCGCTTCTAAGTGACTGGGGATTCAATGGCTTAATTGAAATCACTTTTCTATTAACTACTTTGAAGTTTTTAGCGTAAGTTCACAGTTAAAATTTTCGGTATCTGTACGCAAATGTCAGAATACAGGTAGACTTAAAATCGTCGCGTCATGCAGTGCGGCACTGATCGCGCACTCGGTTATAACGTGTGCTAAATTTCTTGCCATAGGGATTGCATGCATCCCTATATATATGCAGTTTATACGTGCGTGCATGCGCGCTCATGTTTTGGCGCTAATTCATGAATTGCAGAATTACCCTAGTCTTCATATACCTATATAGAGACCCAGAAGTAGTGGTGCACTTATTCAGAGTATCAAACCCAAATTATACCCCATTATACAACCCTTTTGTTGTAAACAACCCCCACTGAACAACAGCTCCTTTTTAAACAACTTTCTTTAAACAACCCAGTTGGTTTAAACAACCCCAACTGAACAACAGCTCCATTTTAAACAACTTTCTTTAAGCAACCCAGTTGGTGTAAACAACCCCCACTGAACAACAGCTTCTTTTTAAACAACTTTCTTTAAACAACCCAGTTGATGTAAACAACCCCCACTGAACAACAGCTCCGTTTTAAACAACTTTCTTTAAACAACCCAGTTGGTGTAAACAACCCCCACTGAACAACAGCTCCTTTTTAAACAACTTTCTTTAAACAACCCAGTTGGTGTAAACAACCTCCACTGAACAACAGCTCCGTTTTAAACAACCGTCTTTAAACAACACCGGTTGTTTAAATTGTGATTTTAAACAAGTTGTTCAAAATGTTGATCAACTAAGTGTTTAAACTTTAAACAACTCGAGTTGCTTAACATTTTAAACAACTCTTAGATCAGGTCACCCGTTAATAAAGAGTTGTTTAAACTTTTAAACAACTTGTTCACAAAAATTTTAACTGTGTAAAGCCATTCAACTCACGTTTTGTCGACGTTATTGCAGACAGCATTGATGTTTTTCATCTTTCATCCATTTTCATCCTCGTAATTAATATAATGAATACGATGGGTGTTCATTCATAAAATTGCATTTCATAATTCCAGACTCCACTTGCATCAAGTAACCTTGGTTTATTAGGCCAAAACATCAACCGTGTGTCATTATCGATCTCGGTCTCAATCCGAGCGGTCATTCCGAGCTGGTAACGGGAACGTATGATGCAGATCAATACTCGTGCATTTTACTATGCT